CACAGGTACGTGTAGCTATCACCCCTCATCAAAGAAGCTTTTTGCAGCAGAGACTGATAAAGAATACCACAATTGGTTAAAATGCAGAAAACAACTGCCTTTGAGGTACCCAACCCCTATCAATACATCTACAATGCCCCGACATCTAAGGTTCAGGGAACGTAACAGAAAAGCGAATGGAAGGATTTTAAGAGCCAGAGAACCAGAACATCTGCTGTGATGCATTGCACTTTCTGTATGTGCCAGGGAAGCTTCACCCATGAAATTTTAAACATGGTCACCTAAACAAGACCAGCACAATGATACTATCAGTAGACATACTAACACAAGTGGGGGAAAATCTCAGAAGACCTAGACAAAGAGCTAAAGACAATTAATGGATGCTGAGACAGGGAGAATCAGTTTTCGCCAGGAATGAGACCCTGACTGGCCCAAGTGGTCAGTCCTAAATAAATACATGTACAAACAACACTAAATGGACCAGGCAGCTGTGTGTGTGGAAGGAAGCAATAGGTGAAGATAATATAAATAGAACTCTCATGCATGAAATTCTCAAAATAAATTAAACTAAAAATTATAATAAACATTGTTTGCTTATTTGTCCCTGTATTTGCTGTGCTTTTTGGCTAGCAGAAATCTTTTTACTTAGTTCCCATATGTTGTGAAATAAGATGAACTCACCCATTTTTCTTTAATAATACCGAATCCTTCCTGATTTTGCTCAATTTAATTTATTGTTGGATGAGAATGCTGCTAGGACGATTGCTTTAAAGCATTATGCTCATTAGTGCTAGCTCCAAGCTCATGTCAATAAAGATTATTGTCAGGAGCCATTTCAGGCTTCTCCTTTCTCACATCTCACAGGGCCTTCAAGTAAAAATCTTGAGACAGAAAACTTAAAGTTAGCCGAAACATTACGTGCTGACTGTGGAGACTCAAGCTCTGGAAAGCACCACAAAGTGTCTTCAAGGCTTGCTGCTTATCACTAACAGCAGGTGTTCTAGCCACTGACCTTGCAACTGCCCTGCTTAGCTTCCAAACTGCCCCACTTAGTTGCCAAACTGCCCCACTTAGTTGCCTAGCTACGGAGCCCCTCCTTCCCTTCCCCCTTTCCTCAGTTCCCCCTGCCCGAGCTCCTTTCTGAGGAGTATTTAAGACATGAAACTTGCTTCAATAAACGAATGCCTTGACAAAGAATACTGCTTGGCGTCCGTTTCTCCCCCCGCCCCCCATGTCTTTCAGATAGTGCCTCTTCAGACCCTGGAATAATTTAGGACCTGCTGGGCAGGTCAGATTATCAAACAACTGATGGAGGAAGGTCATTGGCTAATAAAGGAACTGCCTTGGCCCATTTTATTGGTTAGAAGATAGGTGGGAGGAGTAAACAGAACAGAACGCTGGGAGGAACAGGAAGTGAGCTCAGATTCCACAGCTCTCCTCTCGGGAGCAGACGCCTCAGAGAGAGACACCATGCTCCTGGCTCCTGGGCAGATGCATGCGATGAAGCCGCCAGGTCAGACATGCTGAATATTCCTGGTAAAACCAGTGCTACAGTTTATTAGAAATGGGTTGACTGGGATATCAGAATTAGCCAGTAAGGGCTAGAGCTAATGGGCCAAGCAGTGCTTAAATGAATACAGTTTGTGTGTTGTTATTTCGGGCATAAGCTAGCCGAGCAGGCGGCCGGGGTGCTGGGAATGCAGCCCCACTGCTCATATTACTACAAACAGCCACAGGCACAGAAAACAAAACCAAGAATACAGCTGCAGAAAATAAACGGCCATATAAGCAGGGGAAAATCATACTTAGAAATTCCAGGTAAGTTCCAAACAAGGTTTTCCAGAAACCTGGGCCTATAATATCAAAACAACCATGCTAGGTGTGATAACACACACCTGTAATCCCAGAACTCAGGAAACAAACACAGAAGGTTCCTTGCAAGTTCAAGGCCAGCTTGATCTATGGGGAAAGTTCAATGCCAGCTACTGTTACATAGCAAGACTGTGTCCTTTTTTTTAAAAAAAAAAAAATAACCTATAATGTAGGAAATAGGATTTTCAGGAAGTACTGGAAAATTTTTTTAGAAGAATTTTTTTCTATGTAGGCTCGAAATGCCCCCAAAGAAACTGAATACAAAATTGTGCCTCATTAACTCTGTTAAGAGCCATCTTAACAGAATGTGGTATAAAGAACATTTAGAGAGCTCCTTACCAAAAAGTAAAAACAGAAATATTAATAAAACAGAAAGAGCACACTGTTATTATCAAGCACTAGCCAAAGTGCCCACAGTACAGGATACAAGATCAACTCCAAAAACTCAGTTGCCTTCCTGAGAGAAGCAGAGAGGGAAATCAGAGAAGCATCACCTTTCACGATAGCCACAAATAGCATAAAATATATTGGGGAAACTCTGACCAAGGAAGTGAAAGATCTATTTGACAAGAACTATAAGTCTTTGAAGAAAGAAATTGAAGAGGACACCAGAAAATGGAAGGACCTCCCTCGCTCTTGGATTGGGAGGATCAACATAGTAAAAATGGCAATTTTGCCAAAAGCAATCTATAGATTCAATGCAATCCCCATCAAAATCCCATCAAAATTGTTCACAGATCTGGAGAAGACAATAATCAACTTTATATGGAAAAACAAAAAACCCAGGATAGCCAAAACAATCTTATACAATAAAGGATTGTCTGGAGGCATTACCATCCCTGACTTCAAACTCTATTACAAAGCTACAGTATTGAAAACAGCTTGGTATTGGCATAAAAACAGAGAAGTCGACCAATGGAATCGAATAGAAGACCCTGACTTTAACCCACAAACCTATGAACACCTGATTTTCGATAAAGGAGCTAAAAGTATACAATGGAAAAAAGAGAGCATCTTCAACAAATTGTGCTGGCAAAACTGGATGTCAATCTGTAGAAGAATGAAAATAGATCCATATCTATCACCATGCACAAAACTCAAGTCCAAATGGATTAAAGACCTCAATATCAGTCCGAACACACTGAACCTGATAGAAGAGAAAGTGGGAAGTACTCTACACCACATGGGCACAGGAGACCACTTCCTACGTATAACCCCAGCAGCACAGACACTAAGGGCATTATTGAATAAATGGGACCTCCTGAGACTGAGAAGCTTCTGTAAAGCAAAGGACACTGTCACTAAGACAAAAAGGCAACCCACTGACTGGGAGAAGATCTTCACCAACCCCGCAACTGGCAAAGGTCTGATCTCCAAAATATATAAAGAACTCAAGAAACTAGACCGTAAAAGGCTAATCAACCCAATTATAAAATGGGGCACTGAGCTGAACAGAGAATTCTCAACAGAAGAACTTCAAATGGCCAAAAGACACTTAAGGTCATGCTCAACTTCCTTAGCGATCAGGGAAATGCAAATCAAGACAACTTTAAGATACCATCTTACACCTGTCAGAATGGCTAAAATAAAAAACACCAATGATAGCCTTTGCTGGAGAGGTTGTGGAGAAAGGGGTACACTCACCCATTGCTGGTGGGAATGCAAACTTATGCAACCACTCTGGAAAGCAGTGTGGCGGTTTCTCAGGAAATTCGGGATCAACCTACCCCTGGAGCCAGTAATACCACTCTTGGGAATATACCCAAGACAGGCCCTATCATACAACAAAAGTATATGCTCAACTATGTTCATAGCAGCATTGTTTGTAATAGCCAGAACCTGGAAACAACCTAGATACCCTTCAATGGAAGAATGGATGAAGAAAGTATGGAATATATACATATTAGAGTATTACTCAGCAGTAAAAAACAAGGACTTCTTGAACTTTGCATGCAAATGGACGGAAATAGAAAACACTATCCTGAGTGAGGTAAGCCAGACCCAAAAAGAGGAACATGGGATGTACTCACTCATATTTGGTTTCTAGCCATAAATAAAGGACATTGAGCTTATAATTCATGTTCCTAGAGAAGCCAAATATGAAGGTGAATCCAAAGACAAACACATAGGCATCCTCCTGAATATTAACCTTCATCAGGCGATGAAAGGAGACAGAGACCCACATTGGCGCACCGGACAGAAATCTCAAGGTCCAAATCAGGAGCAGAAGGAGAGGGAGCACGAGCAAGGAACTCAGGACCGCGAGGGGTGCACCCACACACTGAGACAATGGGGATGTTCTATCGGGAACTCACCAAGGCCAGCTGGCCTGGGTCTGAAAAAGCCTGGGATAAAACCGGACTCGCTGAACATAGCGGACAATGAGGACTACTGAGAACTCAAGAACAATCGCAGTGGGTTTTTGATCCTACTGCACGTACTGGCTTTGGGGGAGCCTAGGCAATTTGGATGCTCACCTTACTAGACCTGGAAAGAGGTGGGCGGTCCTTGGGCTTCCCACAGGGCAGGGAACCCTGATTGCTCTTTGAGCAGATGAGGGAGGGGGAATTGGTCGGGGGAGGGGGAATTGGTCGGGGGAGGGGGAGGGAAATGGGAGGCGGTGGCGGGGAGGAGGCAGAAATCCTTAATAAATAAATAAATTAAAAAAAATAAAAGCAAAAAAATAAAAAAAAATAAAAAAAACAAAGTTCCTAAAGTAATCAGCTAATTCAGTTGAGGAACGAAGCCTCACGTTGCTTGCAAAGGTTGACATTTAATCCATTACCAATAACCATTAAGCATAAGTGCATTCATTAGTCACCAGGCAAGGCACTGAGGGGAGTTTTGAAAGGGAAAGATGCACAACTTTATTCCTGAACAACACCAAGTGCAATGCCAGAATAGGGAACTGTGGGCAGCAGGGTGGACATGGCTGCCAGGGAGCAAGAGATTTTTGTCAGGCACTGGCCATAACCCCCATGCTGAAGATTTGGAAGAAAAGTTATAATTAAATCAAAGTACAAAAGGAAGAAGATAGCATTTGAATTTGGTGAGTTCATTGCAAATCTGATCATATGGTGACTAGGGCAAATAAATAAATAAAAGGTGGGATAGCTTTGAAGTCTTACCTCTGCCATCAAGCTTCCTAAAATGTATAGAGACTGACCCCACATGTGAGGCAATTTTCCCATGGGGACTCGATCCACAGTGTGAGGATTTTGATATTCTTCATCAACCTAAATGAAGCGATAAAGAGGTCAAATGAGAGGCAATAATAGAAAGCTTAAGATACTAGATGATAAAAGACAGTTTGGATTAGGATTTATAGTTTATAGGCAATGGATTGAACAGTTAAGTAGGGCAGTGCTCAAGCTATGATGTGTGACCAAATCTCCCAAGGATCTTGTGCAAATGCAGACTGTATCGGTGTGTTGGGGGTGGCTAAAACATATTCTTAATTCTCAGGTGACACTGCTGATACCACTAGGAACTTACTCTCCAAACCCCCACCAGAAGGAAAAACTGTGTCTCTACCATGTCTAATTCTCCTTGACAATGGTAAACAAAAACAATACTTGCTTAATTTTTCTAAGCCTCATCTACTCCAACAGTCCCTGATTACTGGCTTCAAAGGAAACCAAGTCCTGAGAGCTGGCAAAGGACATCAGTCTGGTTCCATGTACTGATCTGTACATTATTCTCAGAACTGAGATTTGCTTTCATTCATATCTTACTGTAAAGTAGTCAAATAATTGAGACTGCTTTAATTTATTTCTGAAGAAATTAAATCGCCTATTTGTTGTCATAATCTGAAAACCAAATTGTTAGAATATTAAGATCACCGGATACAAAAATCACAAAGCTATTTGACTCAAACAACTATTGACTCAGCATCCCAGAAATACGGTTCCTCTCCTGTCAATGAGCCAGTGCTATCCAACTTGCCTTGTCAGGGGGAACACTGTACAGCTCTGGAAGAAGTGGGACTCCATTTTTGCCCTTGATGAGAACTGCATCAAGAGCCTCTCTATATTCTTGGACCTGCAGAATAAAAGAAAGAAAAAAACCAAACTTTTAGAGACTTTCCGCGGAAACATAGCAGAAAGACACAGCCAAAGAAAGCACTACTACAAAAGAGCTTATTTAACCAAGTATAAGGGAGAGGAAAGGGGCAATGGTACTGTGTCAAGTTGACACAAACTATAATCCTCTGAGAGGACAGAGCCATGACTGAGAAAATGCCTCCATAAGAACTGACTGCAGGCAAGCCTGGAGACCGTTTTCTTAACTAGTGATTGATAGGAAAAAGCCCAGCCCATTGTGGGTGAAGCCAACCATGGGCTGGTGGTCCCAGGTTGAATAAGAAAGCAGACTGAGCAAGCCATGGGGAGCAAGGCAGTATGCAGCCCCTCTCCATGGCCTCTGCTCCTGCCTCCTGGTTCCTGTCCTGTTTGAGTGCCTGCCACCTTAGCTTCCCTTAATGGATTGTGATTCAGGATACATAAGTCAAATAAGCCCTTTTCTCCCCAAACTGCCTTTTGGTCATGGTGTTTTGTCACAGCAGTAGAAACCCTAACTAATGCAGGTTTATTACATGTTTTCTAAAGATCAAATATCACATGAATTTTTGTATACTTTAACACATTTAATTTTTGTTTCATTCTAGTAGGGATGTGTAATTGAAGCCCTTTAACATGGGGATTTGATGGAGGAAGGTCATTGGCTAATAAAGGCACTGCCCTGGCCCATTTTATTGGTTAGAGGATAGGTGGGAGGAGTAAACAGAACAAAATGCTGGGAGGAAGAGGAAGTGAGCTCAGAGACTCGACCGCTTTCCTCTCAGGAGCAGACGCCTGAGAGAGACGCCATGCCCCGCCCCCGGGATGAAGCTCCGACCCAGGATGGACATAGGCTAGAATCTTCCCGGTAAGCGCACCTTGGGGTGCTACACACAGATGATTAGAAATGGGCTAAATTAATATGTGAGAATTAGCCTAGAAGAGAATGGGCCAAGCAGTGTTTAAAAGAATACAGTGTCCGTGTAATTATTTCGGGGCATAAGCTAGCCGGGCAGGCGGCTGGGGTGTTGGGGACGCAGCCCCGCCGCCGCCCTTATTACTTCATATGGCGCCCACGTGGACAACTGCTTCCACATAAAGCCTGAGACAGCTTGGGAAGTAATTATAGAACAAAATGAAAGCATTGTGCCTGGTTTCTTGGTAGCAGCAATTTCTCGGTTCTACCCTGCTTGCTAGAGGCAAGCAAGCGCCTCATCTAAGAGAGGCTTCCTGACTCAGCTTTAGCTGCTAAGCCTGCAGCTCATTAAGAGGTCCTGCCACGAAACACTTAAACGGTGTTGACGAAAAGCTGAACGCATGCTTTTCGGTTTTCAGCCGTAGCAGGAAAAAAGCTGCACAGTTTAAAAATGCCGGCTTTCTGGGCTGTCCTGCCAGGACAAACTCTGACTCTTTTATGCAGGCGGTTTGTGCGGTTTGCAAGCACAGGCTGCTGAAGCTCGCTTACTGGCTACAGCCAGTACCTCAGCCATGAGGCTGGAAAGCTAAGGAATGGGCTGGATCTCGTTGGCAAAGCCACGCCTTTAATCCTACCCATATTGCTCAGTAATTTAAAGGCTCCTGTGGTCAGAAAAAGAGAGATATACAGTAAAGAGAGATTCAAAGACAAAGAAAATTTCTGAATGGTTTAAAGTATGTTAAAAATATATGCAGACTAAAAGTTGAAGTTCTTAAAGTAAAAAACAAAAAAAAAAAAGGAAGAGAGTTGTTGTGTGTGGTAGCACACGCCTTTAATCCCAGTGCCTAGAAGGCAGAGACTAACAGATCTCTGTGAGTTCAAGGTGTAGTAGCAAACACCTTTAATCCCGAATGCCTGGGAGGCAGAGACAGGCGGATCTCTGAGAGTTCAAAGACAGCCTGGTCTACAGAGTTACTTCAGGTCAAAGATACAGAGAACCTGTCTCAAAAAGCAAAGAGTTAAAAGTAAAAATAAACAAAATAGAGGTTAAAACAAAGCTGCACAAAGATGGAAAATACACAGAGAATCTTGATACTGTATGCTATTATGCTCTCTTTAAATTATTTAAACGCTGAGGAAGGAGCAACAGATGCTAAAAGATATTTATTTATAAATACTGCTGAACTATTCCAACATAGATATTATGAATTTGGATCTAAGGATATGATACTTTGGAAAGGAGTTTCTTATTTTGTTTTCACAGAGGATGAGACGCTGTTCATTTCTTCTATTCCAATTTGGTATGATGGACCACGCCCTCCTGAAGGGTTGCAGTGAACATCTTCAGAAAATTGCTTCCCTCAACTGCCAACTGAGATGAAACTAGCACACAGGTTATACCATGAAAGACCTAATTAACGACGTCCCCATTCAGCAGGAAGCAGTTTGGAGAGAAAAAACTGCGCCCATGTTCCCAAATATTGTTTATAAATGTTCTTTTACATTTAAAGGGGGATATGATATAGGTATGAATAATTTGCATTAGTATAGATTTTGCTTTATTGATAGAGATTTACGGTCAATTTTGTTATATGTATATGTATTTCTGATATTGATTAAGGTATTGTGATTGTGTAGTTCATTAAAAAATGTAATGTATAATTAGGAAATATAGGTTGTTAATGGATAATCATCGATAATAGTAAAGCTTGCAGTCATGTTAGTTAGATTTTCTAGATATATTGAGATATTTTAGATAGACATTCTTCATGTCTTTCAAAGATTACAGAATAGGACATTTAATGTTTTAATAACTGAGGACTTTTCATGACAATGAGACACTCTGCTCCTGGCAGCACCAATGTACTTCAAGAGGAAGATGGGCATCGAAGAGGATCCTTATGGAGTTTGATAGCCATTTGGGCAAGAAACTGCTCTTGCCTGGACTGTTGCATAAACTGGACACAGAGAACCCGCAGAGAGAGGACTACTGAACTTGCCTAAGGTGAGATGATCTTTCGGGGTTCCTGATTCATGAAAGAGTCTGCGAGACATTCTGCAGGACACAACAGATAGTGACTGAACTGACTCTGAAATTTCCTGCTTTGTGGAAATGTCTGCTGGAAACTATGGGCCTGTAGGTCGAAGATGGATGCCCCAATGGTACAGAGGAACTTTGGGTGACTGTCCAGGCAGCGAGATGTCTCTGTCATTTCTAGAGTTTTAAAAGCTGCTTACTTCTTGTTTACTTAGGTAATATATCTTTCTGGAGTCTTTGATGGAGTTAAGAATAGTTAGTTATAGTTATAGTTTTCCTTAGTTATGATAAAGATTATTGTAACTTTTACTTGATAACTGTTTTGTTATATGTAATTTTGCTATGTTAAAGCCTTTTTTTTTGTTTAAACCAAAAAAGGGGAAATGATGGAGGAAGTTCATTGGCTAATAAAGGCACTGCCCTGGCCCATTTTATTGGTTAGAGGATAGGTGGGAGGAGTAAACAGAACAAAATGCTGGGAGGAAGAGGAAGTGAGCTCAGAGACTCGACCGCTTTCCTCTCAGGAGCAGACGCCTGAGAGAGACGCCATGCCCCGCTCCCGGGATGAAGCTCCGACCCAGGATGGACATAGGCTAGAATCTTCCCGGTAAGCGCACCTTGGGGTGCTACACACAGATGATTAGAAATGGGCTAAATTAATATGTGAGAATTAGCCTAGAAGAGAATGGGCCAAGCAGTGTTTAAAAGAATACAGTGTCCGTGTAATTATTTTGGGGCATAAGCTAGCCGGGCAGGCAGCTGGGGTGTTGGGGACGCAGCCCCGCCGCCGCCCTTATTACTTCAGGGATTAAGTTCTAAGAGGTTCTGAACTTGTAGTTTATTAAGCAAATACCTGATTTAGTGTAGTTTACTCTGACTCAGTCTGTCTTCAAGGGCCTAAGTGATCTGCTTCTGCCTCCCAAGTGTTGGGATTAAAGGTGTGTGCCGCTATGACTGACAAAAAAGTTTTATTTTTAAAAATTATATGTATGCATATGTGTCAGTGTGGGGGTATATGATCATGTGTGCTGGTACCCTTGAAAGCCAGATGTTTCAGATCTCCTGAAGCTGGAGCTATAACTCTACAAGAATTTGTGAGCCACATGACAAGAATGTAAAGAATCAAACTTGGATTTTCTGGAAGAACATTATGTGCTCTTAATCATTGAACCATCTCTCTAGTCCTTGACTTGGCTTTTATTTTATTTAAGTTTATTTTTATTTATGTGTGTATACATCGGTGTGTGTGTGTGTGTGTGTGTGTGTGTGTGTGTGTGTGTGTGTGCACGTGCACATGCACGCATGTGCCTGCAGAAGAGGGATTAGCACCTCCTGGAACTGGAGTTACAGGTGGTTGTGAACTGTCTGATATGGATGCTGGGATCTAACTTTGGTCTTCTGTAAAAGTTGCAAATGTTTTTAACCACTGAGAAATCTCTCCAGCCCTTTGAATAGGCTTTTAAATCTATGTTTTTATTAATTGCTTTTAGTTAGTATATAAAATAATGGATTTTATTATGACATTTTCATACATGTCTATCATTGTACTTTGCTCGTATACACTTTCCCATTAATTACCCTTGTCATCACTCCTCTCTGGGTTTGGCTGCTATTGTGGTTAGGTTTATGTTATTTACTTAACGATTTGCTGAAACACAGTAATTCATAAACTATAAAAAGGGAAAGAGTCAGGATGCAGCTCAGTGGGCCTAGCGTGTACAAGGCCTTGGGATCATAAGAAGTAAAAAAAAAAAAAAAACCACAACAAAACCATAATTTATGGGGGAATACATAGTTCTTTAACATAATAGCTTCATCCCAGCTGCTTTGTGGTATAATTAGGATATTGTTAAAATTCACAAAGTTTTAAAATGTGTTTAATAAATTAGGGTACAATTTAAGTATTGTGGAGGGGTTCCTGCAGGCTTACAGCAGGTCGGAGAAAATGATCAGGGTGAGATAAGACTGAAACTTGGATCACATGGATTTTGGTAACCGATGCTGGGCCAGGAATTCTAGAGTCTGACATCAGCTCATTTATTTTTGCTATATTTAAGCATAACACAATTTAGGGAAAAAAGTATTCTAATAACAATTAACTCAGCCCCATGAGTACAACAAAGTTTAAGACATGTCTGCATTGAAACTTTTTACAAAGTACATACAGCTTCATGTGTAAGATGGGTTCTTGTTGACTTAGAAAACAATGGTCAAGATAAGGGCGTAAGAAGAATGACTGAGGTAAATACAATGCCTGGCCCTAAGAAAACATAGAAGTTATTTAGGCTATTATAAGGTACAAATGATGAGTTTTATGGTTTAGAAGTAATGCTCAAGGTGTCAGGGGAAAGAATCTGGGATAAACATAATATTCTGGGTGATATGGGTGGAGGCTGGCTAAACAGATAGCGAATGATTACCAGGCTGCAAACTATATTTTCCCCCAGCATTCTGGGAGAACAGTCAAATATCTTCCCTCTTTGGAGAGATGAGATGTGTGCTTAACTTTTCTTGGCTTCTCCAGTGCTTATCTGTGTGCAGGACTGTTTTTGCAGTCTACAGAGTATAACATGAATTTGATGTTTGCTTATGTGCAATTTCTTCCTGAGAACACAACTGTGCTGAACTAAACTATTTAAAACTACACAGACATGTACTTACCGAACAAGGCCAAGGAACCAAATGAGTCTACATCTGTTGTTGAAGTGTTCCACAGTGTATATGACCTTTCTTTTTTTACTTTATTGTTTATTTATTTATTTATTTATTTATTTATTAAAGATTTCTGTCTCTTCCCCGCCACCGCCTCCCATTTCTCTCCCCCTCCCCCAATCAAATCCCCCTCCCTCGTCAGCCCAAAGATCAATCAGGGTTCCCTGCCCTGTGGGAAGTCCAAGGACCGCCCACCTCCATCCAGGTTTAGTAAGGTGAGCATCCAAACTGCCTAGGCTTCCCCAAAGCCAGTACATGCAGTAGGATCAAAAACCCATTGCCATTGTTCTTGAGTTCTCAGTAGTCCTCATTGTCCGTTATGTTCAGCGAGTCCGGTTTTATCCCAGGCTTTTTCAGATCCAGGCCAGCTGGTCTTGGTGAGTTCCCGATAGAACATCCCCATTGTCTCAGTGTGTGGGTGCACCCCTAGCGGTCCTGAGTTCCTTGCTTGTGCTCTCTCTCCTATATGACCTTTCTTTAAGCACATCCTAACTTCTAAGCTATGAGCACCTAACAGCTGCTCTGGTTGCAAAATGGGTGCCTTCCTCTTGTTTTAACTGCCCCCATTCCTCTCAGCCCATTCTAACGTTTCCTCTGTATTTTGTTGTTTTTCTCCTCTGATTTCTATCATTTATTTTATTTTTCTTTTGTTTTCTTCCTCTTACATACAGGCTAGTGGGCAAAAGTACCAACCAGGCGAACTGGCACGAAGAAGGTCAAACACTTCTACAAGCAAAATTCAGGCTCTTTTCAAGGTTTAACTATCAGACCTATTGTAGCACTTATATATTTGACCATTTAACATGTTGGAAACTGTGCCACTGTTTTTATTTTTTTCCGACTAGCTTTCTATCATTTTGTTATGTACAAACATACATTTACTTATGATTGAGACATGGTCTTACTATATAGTCTTGGCTGGCCTAGAACTCACTGTGTAGTGCAGGCTACTCAAACTATTGGTGTATTATTTGTGTTTTAATAAATAAAGCTTGCCTGAAGATCAGAGTGCAAAGCAGCCATAGGAGTCTGCCATACAGGCCAGGGAGTGGTGGCACACACCTTCAATCTCAGCAGTCACACTAGTTAGCCACAGAGGCCAGACAGTTATGGCACACACCTTTAATCGCAGAAGCCACACTAGTTAGCCATAGAGGCCGGGCAGTGGTGGTGCACACCTTTAATCCCATCTCTAGAGAGGAATATAAGACGGGAGGAGACAGCTCTCAGACACAGTCTGAGGATTTGTGGAGGCAGGATTACCTATTTCTGTCTGAGGTAGAGGTAAGAGTCAGTGGCTGGCCACTTTGCTTTTCTGATCTTCAGCTTGAACCCCAATATGTGTCTCTGGGTTTTTATTAGTCGTGCTACATCAACTCACAGAAATCCTCCTGCTTCTTTCTCCACAGTTCTGGGATTAAAGGTGTGCAGCACTATACTAAGCCATACATACAGTTTTAGTACTGTGCTCCTCACCCCATTTTTCTATTCTATAGATTTTAAATTTCTTGACTATACATTTCATGGTGATATTTTCAAAGGGATGCTATCTCATTATAATGGAACTAACTGGCTTTTGAATTTACAGCATATCTTTATTGTGAACTTTCAAAGAAATTTTTGAATATTTTTTGAAAAGATTATTTTTTATTTTATGTACTGAGTATTTCACCTGCATATATGTATGTGAACAACATGGGTACCTGTTACCCATAAGGCTTAGAAGGTAGCTTTGGAGCCTCTGGAACTGGAATTACAGATGTTTGTGAGCTGTCATGTGCATGCTGGGAATTGAGCCCGCATCCTGTGGACGAGCAAAAGGTGCTGTTAACCAAGGAACCATCTCTCTATCACCCAAGGATACCTTTTCTAAAAATATTATTTGAGATGGTCCTGCTATTTAGCGTAGACTGGTCTCAAACTCTTGATCTGCCTGCCCTAGCCTGAGTCCTGAGATTACAAACATGTGTCACCGCAGCAAAAAATCCTTTTTAGAAATACAGAAATTTGTGGGCTACAGTGTTATACTTCAACTCACGTATATGGTGTATAATGATGAAATTGAAGTAATTAATATTTTAACATCCTTAACTTGACAATGTTCTTTAATGAAAGAAAAAAAATCTCACCTACAGAGGCAATGAAATCGAAGAAGTCACTGACAACACTTGGATGGTCAGGATTGAAGAAAAAAAAAACAATCTGAGTTTCTCAAATTTTTTTTGTAGCTGTTTTGTTTTGCTTTTGGTTTTTCCAGACAGGGTTTCTCTGTGTAACAGCAATGGCTGTCCTGGAACTCATTTTGTAGATCAGGCTGGCTTCAGAATCAACAGAGATCCACCTGTTTCTGCTTCCTGAGTGCTGGGATTAAAGGTGTGCGCCACCACTGCCCAGTTAGAATTTCCCAATTCTTTTTTTATATAGTAACTTTTCTTTTTTAATTTTTTAAATTTACTTTTTAAAATTTCATTTTACATTCCAACCACAGTGTTCCCCAAATCTTAATTCACTATTATCAACTACAAGTCTCTAGGAGACAGACAACTCTATGTGGTAGTCAGAAGACTCCAATTTGGGGGAGTCAATACAGATAGAGCCATTAACTGAAAGAAGAAGATACAACAAGAGCAGCTTGCTCAGAGCTCTTCTCCCAGCTCATTACCTGTTCTGCGTTCCCACTGAAGACTCCATCAAGGATAAAGTATGTCCAGAACAATGGCCATTCGCACTCAATGTTTTCAAATAACTTCAGCTCAGCTGGTTCATAGTATAGACGATTTGGATCCTAGACAAAAATAGAATAAAGTCTGTCCTGTCGCTCAGAGATTGGATTTATATCCTTAGTTTAGAGGTATTGTAGTAGGAGTTTTACTAGACCATCTGTTTCAAAGATGGCATCAGGGAAGCAAGTGCTCTATGAAAACGTCCAATGACTAGTCTTGAAATAATAAGGAATCACAAGAGATATACGAAAATGTGTGTTACTTTTCTTGTTCCATGATAAACTAATCTGACAAAATCAACTCAAGTGAAGCAAGAGTTTACTTTGGCTCACAGTTCAAGGGTACAATTCATCATGAAGGACAGAGAAGGTGGCAGAAGCTTCGGCAGCTGATCACAACTGCTTCTACAGTCAGGAAGAGTACAATAAATGCTGGAATGCAGCTAGCTTTTCCTTTCCATGCAGCCCAGGCCTTCAACCCAGGAAATATTGCCACTCGCTTTTAGGGTAGATCTTCCTACTTTAATTAACCTACTAATACCCTCACAGGTATAACCAAAGGCTCGTCTCCTTGATCCCGTCAAGCTGACAATATTAACTAACCATCAGTGTAGGACTGCTTTGTAATCAACCTGAGAGAGGCAACACTAGGCACAGATGGCCTTTGTGGGAAAGAATGAATGGCCTGTACAAGAAGGGAATCCTGGCAAGTCTTCAGAATGAGGGGATCCAAAGACAGAGAGCCAAGAACCATGAGAGTGCAGTACTGTGGAAATCCAAATGGAAAAAACTTCAAGAAAAGGGCAAAAGTCAAACTCCGGGCTGAAGAAGAAAGTAGAAGTGCGGAAGTAGACAAGATTTCACACTTAATTTAAAAAGAACATAGTTCCTCTCTTCTGTGTGGTGCTGGGACTGGAACGCAGGGCATTGAGCATGCTACACAAGCACTCATAATAGTTCTTGAAAAGCTGGCCCAAGCCATACTTTTTTTTTCAAGGAGAACTTTTGACTAGTAAAACTAAAGGAACTTATATTTTCACAAACAAGTTCTGTTTATAACTAACCAAATACAAACTACTAATCTTGGAACAGTTTAGGTTTGGTGTCCTTAAGGCTTGATGGGCTGATATTTTATCCATATTGTGAAGTACTAGTGGGGAGAAATGGAATAAACTACAGAACTTAGAGGTGGAGGCTGCAGGACAGATCAGGATTCAGTAAGGCCATTAGGGTGGAGACTGAGCCTCTGGCTTTGTCAAAAGGAAAGAGACCAGAAGGGATTGGGGCACACCAGTACTCCCTGGATCACACCTTGGGATTCTTGTCAGCAGATGTGGACCTCTTGATTCTGAGCCTACAGAACTGTGAGCCCAAGTGTACCCATTTTACAACTCAGTCTGCGGTACTGTGTCCCAGACAACAGAAAAGGGACTACGACAGGCAGACAAAAAGATGTACTGATGGAAAGTGCCTTTCCTTTGGATTGATTAAATATTTTGGGGGCATATTTGGATATTATGTAAATGTTATTTGTATTTAAAACTGTCCATAGATTTTAGCATCTATCGGTAGTTCTTTCCTTAAACTAATCAACTAAAAGAAAGGAAAAACAGCCTTTATTTTATTTACTTTTGAACATATTATTATTATTAATTTATTTACTACCGATGTCAAAACTTGGCAGCAAAGTCCAATAAATACAACAAACATCACTTATTATTCCCTTTAATGATCTGCAAAAATTCTATCAGCAAGGTAACTTATCTCTGAATGAGGCTACAAAGAAAAGGGACAATTCTGCCCAATTTCCCTGTGGTGAAAGGAAACCTACCTTTTTTTTAAGGCTTATTTATTATGTATAGAGTTCTTCCTGCATGTACACTTGCCACCAGAAGAGGGCACCAGATCTCATTGTAGATGGTTGTGAACCACCATGCAGGTACTAGGAATTGAACTTTTGACCTCTGTAATGGCAGCTAGTGCTCTTAAAAGCCGAGCCAGCTCTCCAGCCCCAGAAACCTACCTCTTTAGGAGTTTTATATCCATCTCGTAGAAAACGACAGCAACCATAACGACCCTGGGGACACAGAGAAAAAGGCCCTGAAGTTTGTATATCTGTATGACTCCACAAGCAGAAGCACATCCTCAAACATCTCCATGTACCAATCTCTCACCACCACAGACACAGAACTCAAAATCAGCTCAGCAGCAGCAACAGCAACAGCAGCAATGTCCTTTCAAGCAAGAAGTATGTTACAGGTTCTTCCCCAAAACAGCATGCTTAGCAGTATCTTCTCCACGACTGTCCACCTTAGGCCAAGCCTACAACAAGCTAATTACCAATCTGTGCAGTTCTTCCCACAGTACATACAGCTCCCAAGAGACCATAGTTTATTTTTTAAATATATTTTCAATTTTTTGAAATTATCTTAGACTTATAAAAGTTACAAACACTACATACTCTCACTATGCCCATCAAATCTCATCTCCTTATATTAACTAATGTAACTACAGGAACATACATTAGAACTAAAACTTAACTTTGATATGCTAATATTAATTGAATTATAAAACCTATTTAGATTTCACTGAGTTTTCAATCACTGTCCTTTTTTATTCTATTCCAGGATCCAGTTCAAAATCCCACATCACAGGACTCAGGTGATGGCCCAGTGGGTAAAGTATTTCCTGAGTAATCATAAGGACCCAATACTCAGTATTTGGATCATTTTCTTTCCTGTCCCCCAGCTCCTCCCAGATCCTTCCCATCTCCTCACTACCCACCCAACTTTCATGTTCTCTGTTTCTCTAAGAAAGAAAAACAAACAAAAAGAAAAGCAGGAAGATTAAAAGTACCAAAATAGGCCAGGCGGTGGTGGCGCATGCCTTTAATTCCAGCTCTCAGGAGGCAGAGGCAGGAGGATCTCTGGGAGTTCAAGGCCAGCCTGGTCTACAAGAGCTGGTTCCAGGCCAGGCTCTAAAACTACAGTGAAACCCTGTCTCAAAACACCAAAAAACAAACAAACAAGCAAACAAACAAAAGTACCAAAATAAAGAACATAGCATCCAATCTGTGTTGTCTTGGACATGGAACCTACCCTGGAGTGTGATTGGTAACACTCACTGACACTCCATTAGAGAAAACTGATTTTCTCTTCCTGGCAGACATCAATTGCAAATAACTTCTTGGTTAAGGATGGGATTTTGTGTTCATTTCCCCTTCTCTATACTAAGATTTTGTCTGGTTTGAACCCGAGTAGATCTTGTGAGTACTGTCACAGTCTCTGAGTTAACATGGTATCAGTCCTATCATGTCTGGATGGCACTGTTTGTTTCCTTTGAGTCATTCACCAGCTCTGTCTCCTAAACTCTTTATGACTCCTCTTCCACATAGATTCCTGAGCCTTGAGGCCAGGGTTTTGGATGAAGACAACCCATTTAGGGCTGAGTGTTCCAAAGGCTTCTTACTCTTTGCACATTGTCCACTTGTGGGTTTCTGTGTTAATTACCATCTACTGCAAGAAGAAATTTGACATTAACAATCTTCTTTTGGGGGGGGGGGGGTATGAGACAGAGTCTCTCTATGTAAACCTTGGCTGTCCAGGAACTCACTCTGTAGACCAGACTGGTGAACTCACAGAGGATTACCAGCTTCTGCCTCCCAGGAACTGGATTCAAGGTGCATACCACCATGACCAGCCATTCCCAACCCTTTTTGAGTTCTTTACTTTCTGAAGCCTTAAGATGCTTCAGATCTTTTATATCTTCCCTAATGTGATCCTCAAATCAACCACTTATCAAGGATTCCTGATCCACTTTGGGGGGTAATGAGTCTGGGGAGAGGGGAGGTAGAGTAGGTAGATAGGGAAGGCTGTGGTCAGGATTTAGTGTGAAAAAAAGAATCATACTATCTCAGAGATTATTAACTTGTTCTTTTTACTATTGAGTAGTATTCAATAGGGATAGAGTATAATTTGTTTCTCAGTTGAAGGTGGTTTCCAGGTTCTTGCAATTATGGCTGAAGCTGCTACAGACATTTGTGAGTTTTCGTGTGAGTGTACACTATCAATTTTAGGGGAGATACTGAGGAGTAAGGTGTAACATGAAGGGGGCCTGGCTTGTGGTTTGTGTTTTCTGTCCTGCCCAGTACCCGACAACTGTTTATCCCCAAAGAAAATCACACATTGGTCTCCATTAATTATAAGCTGATTGGCCCATTAGCTCTAGCCTCTCACTGGCTAACTCTCACATCTTGATTAACCCATTTTTCTGATCTATGTTAGCCATGTGGCTCAGTACCTTTTTTCAGTGGGGCAGATCACATCCTGCTGCTTCAGTGGTCTGGGCAGGAGTGGGAGGAATCAACTTCCTCCTTCCCAGAATTCTCCTGTTCTCATTACATTATTTCTACTTCCTGTCTGGTTTTCCCGCCTATATTTCCTGCCTGGCCAATAAGCGTTTATTTAAAACATGATTGACAGAATACAGACAATTCTCCCACACCAGTAAGGATGTTTGTGGGATCACACATTACATATGTGCATATATACTAAAGTTATATATAAGAGTATGCCAACTGTTCTCCAAAGTGTATGTCCCATTCCCAACAGTAATGACTGCTTTTGAAAGCTTTGTAGAGAAACTACTGACAAGAGCGTAACTTAAAGGTTTCTTGAAATTCCTGGCATATGTTATACTCAAAGGCCTAAAAGCACTAATCTTCCTTTAAACTCCCAGCTCTAAAGAGAAGAAAGGCACATGTGTACATACCTGAAGCTTGGTGATGATCTCCTGTTTGGTGAGCTCTACCAAATGGCTGTCCTCTACAGCAAAGGCTGGGAAAGAGATCACTGACAGCAGACTGGCATCAACTTCTTTGGATGTTGAAGCCCGGGGCAGCAGTGAATTTAGGATTGACTAAGAGAAAGGTAGCAAAATATAGTTTATTATTAGATACTTTTGTTAAGAGGTGAGACCAGGAGCTTTGGTTCAAAAAGATTTATGTGGAACAAAAGCTTTCAGAATAAAACCCAAATTTTATTAAAAAGTGAGATCCTAAAAGTAGCTTGCTTGGTATTGAATCCCTTTTCTTTGTCCTGCTCTCAATGCTTCCCCATTGTGATTGGAAAGCATCTGTGGGACACACACAACCCTGTTGGTTTCTTAGGCTCTAGATAAAAATAAAGCTGAGGTTAGAAAGATGAATCAGTGGTTAAGAACACTGGTTGTTCTTCCAGAGGACTGGGCAGCTCACAACCATCCATAACTTCAACACCCTTTTCGACCCTGCATGGGCACAAGGCATGAATATGGTGCAAATATATACCCAGACCAAACCCCCATACACACAAAATAATAAATAAATTTTAAATAATAAAACTAAGACAAACTACAGCTTCTGGGAAGAGTAGGGGAAGGATCAATTATGCCTCTAAGATATTTTCAAATTAATTTTCAGCAAGTGTGAAAAATAATGGGTTTCTTTATATTTTAGACACATATATCATTGCACTTAGCTATTTTTTCACCCATATTTCCATACCCCCATTTTACTCCTGCTAATCTTTTTCCTATCTACAAATGATCCTTTTCTTCTTCCATGACATATTTTATCCACAGAAAATGTTTTCGAAATTAGAAGCTGAAATTATGTTCACTAGCATACCTTATAGGATACAATCAGGGCTGAAGAAAAGGAGAAATTTCACATACCAGAGAAAAGAAACTTTTGATACAGGTGACAATCATAAACAAAACTAAGGGTGAACTTTTACCAGACTAATAGTCTAATGTCCAAAAATCTAAGCAGAAAACAAGGGACAATGTTTCGGATCCACCCTTCTGAACACTTAGGTCATATCTTGTTTCCTTTTTATGCTTACAAAAAATGATTCTTGGAAAATGAAACCACAGGCCCTTGATATAATAGCAATAGATAGCTGGTTATACTATGGTGGGTTCATTTTATAATTATAACTGAGACAAGAAGACCGCTGTGGTGGTTTGAAGTTTCAGATGTCCAAGCCAGTCGCAGTGTCTTTTTCTTCCTGCTGCATGTGGATCCAGATGTAGAACACTCAGCTCCTCCAGCACCATGTCTGCCTGTGTGTTCCCATGCTTCCTGCAATGCTGATAATGGACCAAACCTCTGAAACTGTAAGTCAGCCACCCCAATTAAATGCTTTCATTTATAAGAGTTGCTGTGGTCATGCTGTCTCTTCACAGCAATAGAACACAGATTAAGACAGAAGTTGGTACCAGGGACTGAAGTATTACTGTGACAGGCCTGATCATATTGTTGGTGGAATGTGTGGGCTTTGGGACTTTAGATTAGTAAAGCAGCTGAATGCTTTAAAATGGGTTTAATGGACAATACCATTAGGAATGTGGAAGATATTGGTGCTGAGAGCAATGTAGATTATGACAGCCTGGCTCAAGAGGTTTCAGAGGAGAGAAATATTAGCAAGTGGCCTAGAGACTGTTCTTGTGATATTTTTGGCAAAGAATGTGACTGCTTTATGCCCTTGTCAAAAGTTTGCCTGATGATAAATTGAAGAATTCTGGTTTAATGGCATTGGCAGAGGAGATTTCAAAACAGCCTAGTATAGATTCTGTTTCATGGTTATTAGTGTTCACTCTTATGCATGTCTATAATGAAAATCAGCAAGCTGAGCAAAGAAAAATACATAATGTACAGTTTGGGGAAAAGGGGGGGCACCAGGAAGTGTAATGGCACTAAGTTCAGTGTTAAGGGAGATAAAAAACTAAAAGAAAAGCCCGATGCTAAATAGAATAAAGAGAGTGGTGACCTCATGGCAAGATCCCACCCAGCTAAGTTTCCAACTTGTGAAAAGGAATTAAAGAAAATTTTTAAGCAGTGAAGAAAACCACAGAAAACAGAAAGCTCATGCAGATAAAATTGAACCAGATGTCCCAGCCCCAGCAAGCAGCAGAACTTGGCAGCTTCAGTTATATGATTCTGGCTTAAGAGCCAGGGATACAAGAAAGGGGTTGTGGAATTTCTCTTCACTGCAAAGAAAGCCACGGAGGCCAGACATGTTTAGGGGTGTCCCTGAATGGAGGCCCAGAGAGGCCACTGCATGAAGTGGGGAAGGTGAAGCCTTGATTGTGTTGGAGATCCCAAAATGTTGGAGATGGCAGAGCTATGGGAAACCTGCCAAAGAGAATTGCTAACAGTGAGTGAAGCCAGTCCAAGAGAGAGAAGTGTGTTACAGTCAACAAAGCTGGAAGGAGTTGGAGATCAGAAGAACATTTTGACATCAGACATGGAGATGTAGTTTGGAGTTTGCCCAGCTTGTTTTTGGTCTTGCTTTAATCCAGTATTTCCTCACTGCATTCCCTTTCTCCCTTTTGGAATATAATGTATATTCTGTGTCACTGTATGTTGGAAGCATGCGATCTGGTTTTTTTTTTTTTTTATTTTGCTTTTACAATTAAGAGATTGCCAGGAGTCTCAGAAGGGTTTTTGGACTTATGCCTTTTAAACAGTGTTGTGACTATTATAGACTATGGAGACGTTCAAAGATGGACTGAACACAATGTTGAATTATCTTATGGCTACAAGCCTATGGTAGTCAGGGAGTGGAATGTGGTGGTTTGACTAGGAATGGCTCCCACAGGCTTATATATTTGAATGCTTGGTCAGCAGGGAGTAGTACTACTACAAAGAATTAAGAGGTATGGCCCCATTGAAGGAAGTGTGTCATTAGAGGTAGATTTTGGGGTTTCAGAAGCCCAAATCAGTCCCTGTATCTCTCTCTCCCTCTTGCCTACAGATCCAGATAAAGAACTCTCAGCTACTTTTCCAGCACCATGTCTGCCTGCATGATGCCATGCTTCCCACCATGTTAATAATAGACTAAAGCTTTTGAAACTTTAAGCAAGCCCCAATTAAATGCTTTTTTATGAGCTGTTGCACTCATGGTGTTTCTTCACAGGAACAGCACATTGACTAAGACAAACATTATCTATCTTATAGCTCATGCTAGTATCAGGTTTATCTTAGTATAGAATGGTTGATAAAGATGTTTCTGATCACATGGTAATAATAATGTGATGAACTGCTCTCTTTAAGCTAAAGCCTGTGCTAAGTCTGAATCTGGGCAAGAATAAAATTTGTGATTCCATGGTCCATTATTTCCTTACCTGGCAGTGTTGTACTTCATCAGCCAGAACATGGATAACTGATTGTGGCCCACCTTTCACACCAAACAAGTCTAATTCATCTAGTGCTTCCAGGGCTGCCTGTAAGAAGCAATGGAAGAAAGGGCAACGTCAGTGGCAGAACACATATTTAGTATGTGTAATGCCCAGGGTTCAAACCCCAGAACCAAAAGAAAAGAAAAATCAAGAATGATACATATATTTTCTTCTTAGTATCTTATCAATGTTACATGATGTTGCCTTTGATTATATTTAATGGAACAGAAAATAAAATAACATTATTTATTCCTAGGAGCTTATGAATTTTACTTTGTCTCACATACTGCCCAAGGGAAAATTAAAATTGAGTTCACATCACTATCCAGTCAAGTAGTGTGCTTTAAAAGAGTAATTTGAACATAGTCTATGGATTTATAGGGAATCATTATTTCAGCAGGGAAGCTCCAACTAAGATACTAGCACATAAGAAATGCTAAACAGCCAAGAAGTGGTGGCACATGCCTTTAGTTCCAGTACTTGAGAAGCAGAGGCAGGCAGATCTCTGTGAGTTCGAGGCCAGTCTGGTCTACAGAGTGAGTTCCAGAAAGTCAGGATTGTTACACAGAGAAACTGTCTCAAAAATAAAAACAAAAAACAACAAAAATGCTAAACACTGACATAGTCAGACCCTATCAAAAAATTGAGAAACAAATGAGTACATGTTAAAAGTTGTATGGCTACAAGATAATATATGAATTATTAGGCACTGACTCATAGCTGAGTTTCCATAGAGAGGCAAATGTCCTAAAAAGATACTATATTTAACTTTTAAACAAATGCTATTAGTTGGTAATGCAAAGGAAAAGTTTTCATGTTTTTTTTTAAAAATATACACTGTGTTTTCATAGATTGTAGTGATTCTCCATAGTAACAGATCTGCAAAGTTATTCCTCATGTCTACCTAAATCTTTGAACCCCTTGATCATTTAAATTCTTCCCCTTCCATTTATCCTAGTCATCATCACTAGGCTCTACTTTGAGAGGTTGATTTTTTAGTTTTAAATATAAGTAAAATCATGCTTTAAGAAAATTGCCAAGTGTGGGGGCATGTGCATATCTGAGACAGAAGGGCTGGAAATCTGAGGCTGTCCTGAATTATATTGTGAGATTCTGTCTCATGATGTGGGATTCCCCTCTGTATGCTATGAATATGTCTTATTACCACTGGTTAATAAAGAAGCTGCTTAGGCCTATGGCAGGGCAGAATAGAGCTAGGCAGGAAAACTAAACTGAATGCAGGGAGAAAGAAGGCAGTGTCAGGCAGACGCCATGTAGCTGCTGAAGGAGAAAGATGTTGGAACCTTACTGGTAAGCCACAGCCTAAAGGCAACACATAGATTAACAGAAATGGGTCAATTTAAGATGTAAAAGCTAGCTAGGAATATGCCTGAACCATTGACCAAACTTTGTTGTAATTAATATAGTTTCTGTGTGATTATTTGGGTCTGGGTGGCTGGAAAACAAAAGCTGTCTCTGATTACAGTCTCAAAAGAATTTTTAGAAATTATTAATTTCTTGCTTTTCTATATGTGTTTCTGATGACAAAAGTAAAACATACTTTAATTTTTGAAAGAACATTTATTTTGTGTACACTGGTGAGGCATGCTCATAGAATTCCTTATTCTACCATGTGGGTTCTGGGAATTGAACTTAGGTCATCAGGACTGGTGGCAAGCACCTCTACCTGCTAAGCCAACCCATCAGCCTATTAATATTTCTTTTAATAATACTATATGAGCATATATGTGTGTATGATGTGTATGTGTGAGTTCAGGTTTGTGTGTGCCATGGTGCATGTGTGAAGGACAGAAAATGACTTGGAGAATGAGTTGTCTTTACTTTTACATGGGTTCTGATATTAAACTCAGGTGGCTAAGCTTGCATGGCAAGCACTTTACCCATGGAGCTATCCATTAGCCTACTGTTAATGTTATTGATGTTTTCTATTAGTTTTCTCCTTTGGTATCTTGCTTTTAAAATGTTTTTTTCTTGATTGAAAAAATTTTTGACTTTTTTGATATTTTTGAGACATAGTCTCATGTAGCCAAGGCTTGTCTCAGATACACATAAAGTCCGGGCTGACCATGAACTCTGATTCTCCTGCCTCTGCCATTTGAAGTAATAGGATTATTAGCATGTACCACTGATCTTAGCTGTACCTTTTTATAATTAATATAGAATATAAGTTTTTCTTTGTTATAGAAACTATTTTGGTATAATATTGTCTCATATGATTGTAATAAAATAAATTTGGTTATTTACTAATTGCTGTAAACCTAGGCTATCTTCCATTTTGTTGTTGTAGAAATAACACTTTGATAAATATCTCTTGCCAAATTGCAAATATTTCGAGGTCCTGGTTGGTATTTCTAACAATATCTAGCACACAGAATAGCAGGCTTATTGTTCAGCTAACAAATAATTATTTGTTTTCATTTTGAAATATTTAAGCATTAATTTCTTGAAGTAGAAGCACTATGCCAAAGGGTACGGAAAATTTTGAGATGCAATGTTAAATATATATACATATATATGTATATATAATTTACCAATATAAATTATACTAGCAGTACATAACAGTACTCTTCTTAATACAAAATATCTTAATTTTCTACTTTGAGTTTAAAGGTATGTTTCTGCATTCACTTGCTTTAAACTTCCAATAAGGTTAGATATTATCTCAAGTATTTATTGGTTATCTCTATTTCCTCAATTATGAGGCCAGCCTGACCTTGTCTTGGGAGCACGAAGTATTTCTGGGTGATTTCCCTGGAAAAATAACACCTAAACTGAGAGACCTAAGGATAAGTAGAAGTTGAGCAAGCACCAAAAACTCATTAACAGAATGGGAAAGAATAGCAAAACTACAGTAGATTAAGCTACTGGGCAACACCTTAGTGATCAAAGACAGAATCGATGGTAATGGGACAAATTTATATCGTGCATTTTTTTTTTTTTTTTTTTTTTTTTTGGTTTTTCGAGACAGGGTTTCTCTGTGGCTTTGGAGCCTGTCCTGGAACTCGCTCTGTAGACCAGGCTGGCCTTGAACTCACAGAGATCCGCCTGCCTCTTCCTCCTGAGTGCTGGGATTAAAGGCGTGCGCCACCACCGCCCGGCTAACATGCATTTTCTGATGACAGATGATGGATAGCAGTGCCTTTGTGATGGTCTTCCTAAAAACACATAACCTGAATCATGAAGAAGTACCACACAAAATAAAAGTATTGGTTTGGAATACATAGAATAACCAGTTTAGAGCTGGGTAGCAAAGAGTCAAGGGCCATGGAGCTGTGTGGGAAGCATGGAGTGGGGTTGCACACATGTAATTCTTGGAAGGCAAAGGCAGAAGGATCAGTTCGAGATTACCTTTAGCAGTATAATGACTTTATGGCCATCCTGGTCTATGAGATATTACCGCAAACAAACAAAAAGTGAAGTATTAGAGGTGGTAGTACACATCAATAGTAGAGTGTATAGGCAGAAGACTCCAACCCTAAGACCAAACTAAGCCAATCAATCAAACAAAAACTAGTCTGTATTTTTCAAAAATGCAGGGTCAGCAAAGTCAAGACTATTAAGTATTGTGCTAGACTGGTGGAGCTAAAAACTGTTACAACAAAATGTAACTTGTTAGCCTGGTCTGGATACTGTGTTGCAAGGATTTTTAAATTATAAATGACACTGGGATAATTTTAAAACCTGAATGTGTTCTGTGTTATGTATAATCACTTAGTTCTTGATTTTGGTCAAACCATGGTTACAAGAGTATGAGAAAGTTCACAATGAAGTGTTGAGTAGCAGTAGTTCACTGTGCCTGCAGTTTGTGCATTTTCAATTAGCTCAGAAAAGTGTATGTACCTGTGTGGGCATTTAAGTGTACATATGTATATGTGTATAACCAGGAAGAGGGAAAGATAAACAAATATTAGTAAACCTTGCATGAATGATACATAGACTTTCTTCCATGATATTCTTGAAACTTTACTTTAAAATGATTTCAAAATAAAAAGGAAGGAGCAACAGATGGAACTCAGCAGAACACTTGCCTAGAACTTACTAGGACCTTATTTTGGGTTTGCTGTCTCACAATTGTTTGCTGTTAAATTATTTATATAATTGTTTCTGTTTGTCTTGTATTTCTAATATATTTGTTCTTTTTAAATTGAAATATATTCCAGACCACATTTTATTCATTATATTTGTGTCAAAAGTCTCTTATGACCCATTTGTTCTCTTTATTCCATGTAATAGTTTTTGCTTTGAATTATATTTCATTTCTTTTGGTTTTTAGACTTTATTTTGCCTAACTTAGTTTTAAACTTTCAGTATCATTATGAAATAACACAGCATATATTGTATTTACTTCTTTTTAAAAATCAATCCACATCTTTCCTAAACATTTAGTAGGAGTGATTGAGCAATGCACATTCATCATAATAATGTCTGAACTTACTCCTGTTATCCTATTTTATAAATTCTTCCTGTTTCTAGAGAAAATAAGAGCTAGTAGAATGAAAAGACATAGCCAAGTGGAAAGGTGACAGTGATATGGGAGACAGAGAAGAGTAAAAGGGGATGGAGGATTCAGAGTTTGCTATCTGATACCAAGCTTGGTGGACTGGACTATGCAGGGACAAAGAGATTCTCTTAGTTTATTCAATGGCAAAAATAGTGAATATCGTTTTAAATTTGTTGTCCTTGTAGGATATATAAACAGAGATGTGCCACAAAAGCCATATGGTATCAAATCTGGAACTCACAAAAAGCTTTTGATACTATTTATTCATAGTTTCATGGAGGAATTTGAATTTTGTCTGCGGTTTAAAGAACAGTGTGATAGGTCTGCATGTACACTAAAGTTTTATCTGTGACAAAGGTAAACCAGACTCCACTGACTAAATTTGGTAAAAATAAGAAATATAATGTACCTTGGCCATTCCAACAGAACTCGCATTCAATTCTGAGATGCCTTGGTTGGTCTTGTCTCCACGTTCCCATATCCCAAAGTCCTGGTATAAAATAATCAAGATATAACTTGAAAATCATAACCACTAAACATTTACTAGATATATAATCCTTAAATAAAAAACCATAAATAGGAGCAAATTTACACACACACACACACACACCTCAACATTGGCTATTAAGGAATTCACGGTGACTTAAATTGGGGTCTCTGAGAAGTTGGGTGTTGACTAGGGTTTCTGTCCCACCAGATCCAACATTCGTTTAGGCCCAAATAAATACACAGAGGTCTACATTAATTATAAACTGGTTGGCCTAGTAGCTCAGGCTTCTTATTAACTATTATATCTTATATTAGCCCATTATTCTTGTCTGTGTTAGCCACGTGGCTTAATACCTTTTTCGGTGAGGCAGTCATATCTTGTTTACTGTGTCTGGCTTCCTCTGTGTCTTGGTGACAACTGCAGATTGAAACTTCCCTCTTCCCATAATTCTCATTGCCCTGCCTCTACTTCCTGCCTGGTCGCCCTGCCGATACTTCCTGCTTGGCTACTGTTCAATCAGCGTTTATTTAAAATATAAAAAGTGACAGGGTACAGAACATTGTCCCACAGCAGTTGGGGGGGGGGGTCTCTTCAACACTTAATCAGAAAGTCTGAGAAACAGAACTCAAATAATCTAGAAACACTTCTCAATTTTTCCCCAAAGGAGAGTCCCATAAAATCTAGCACATGGAAGCTAAACAGTAGCTGGTATTTACATGGAAGCTAAACAGTAGCTGGTATTTTATGTCAAACACACAATCTAATCTTACTCTCTTGGTACTAAAAGAATATGCAATAAATGCATAATCTTCCTTAATCCTTATATTTTACAGATGATGAAACTGAATTACAAAAAGACGATAAGTAACTCACCCAAAATCCTACAGTTGGTGAGTGACAAAACCAAGAGATGATTCCAAAGAATTTCACTCCAAAATCTACTCCTAGACATAACTGTACACATCCCATTGGTAATTTAAAAATATTTAAAATTAATTTTAAAATATTTTATTTTGAAATAACTTCAGAATTAGACAGAAATTACAAAAAATAGCACAGAGTCCCCTAATACCTTTCATTTAGTCTTGCCTAATGTTACTATTTGGACATAACCACAGTACAATTGTTAAAGTTAAGAACTCAATCAACTAATTGAGCTAACTATGGACTTCACATGCCTATATCTCTCAGGAGTTGGGATTACAAGCACATACAACCATGTCTGACTACTAGTAACTGCCTTTTATACTTTCCAATATTCTGTCATTCCTGCCATGCCTCCTTAATGACTTCCAATCAATAGTGGTTTCTTAAATCTGTCCCTTGTGACCTTGACACTAAGTAAAAACTAGTAAAAGTCATGTAAAGCATATAGTTAGGTTAGTGCTGGCTCTTTCCATTTTATTTTTCCTTTTTTAATTAATAAATACTTTGAGAAACAGTTCAAGACCATACAACTATCACCAGGTGGGATTGTTAATGGTTGCAATCCTAAAATGAGACCCTGTCTCAGAAAAAAACAAGTTAAAGATCATGCAAATAGCCTGCTTCTCCTTAAATGACCACTGACTTCTTCAGCATCCCCCAAATGCTTCTAGAAATGATGCTGTGCTGTTTTGATGATAACTTTGATTTATTTTCCTTATTACTTTTACAGTCATCAATTGTAATCCTTCTCCAAAGAAAACAGTTCATTATTCCTTGCTTTTTTCATTTGTTTATTTATTGGTGTGTGTGCACATGTGTGTGCATTCATTTTACAGCACATGTGTGGCAGTCAGAGAACAGCTCTCTGGAATTGGTTTTCTTCTTCTACCTTTAGATGTGTTACAGGGATTGAACACAAGTTATCAGACTTGTATAGCAAGCACTTTGTCATCTTTCCAGCCCTTTATTCAGTTATTAATATTAGTATATCTTTATGGATATTTAGACTTTTGCTGGTTTATAACGGACTACTATCACTATTTTGTTGCTTACATTTTAAATTGTTCAGGTAGGTTCCTAGGCCTTTTATTTATATGTGTCTTGTGCACTTTTGACATTTCCTATTCCTCACTGAGCACTTCTGTAGTGTTTGGCTTCAATCTCATCGACAAAAATGTACACACTCTTAATCCCAGCACTCAGGAGGCAAAGGCAAGCAGACCTCTGAGCCTGATGTCAGCCTAATCTATAAAATGAGTTACAGGACAGTCAGGGCTACATAGAGATACCCTGTTTCAAAAAAGAACCAAAAATGTATTAAATACATCAAGCCAAAAAATGTGACAAGTTTAGAGAAAGAGATGATCATGTAGATACAGGAGGCATTTAGAATGCCAAACAGACAAGACCAGAAAAGAAAACTTTCTATATTATATTATAGTTAAAATATTAAGTATACAGAACAAAGAAAGAATACTGAAAGCTCTAAGAGTAAAGTACCAAAGCACATATAAAGACAAACCCATTAGAGTAATAGATTTTACGACAGAAATTGCAAAAGTCACAATGACATGGAATGACACATTTCAAGTTCTAAAAGACAATAATCACTAATATGTATTATATCTAGCACAAGTTAAACTTACAGGATAAAGAAAAACTTTCCATGATAAACACAAAGTAATTTACAACTGCTAAAACAGCATTACAGAAGTCTTAAGGAATCCCATACACTGAAGAAAAAGATTACAACCATGAGGCCTCAGGAAAGATTATATACTAGAAGAGTGAATAAGCAAATAAGCATTAGGAAAGTACAAAAAAGACAGGAATTAATACACATCTTTCTGATGTGGGATTCCCCTCTGTATGTTGGGAATATGTTTTATTACCATTAGTTTGATGTGGGAGTGTCATATATCAATCTGTTGAGGCTAGAACTAATGGGCCAAGCAGTGTTTAAATGAATACAATTTGTGTGTTGTTATTTCAGGGCATAAGCTAGCCAGGTGGCCAGGAGCCGGGCAGCAGGAACACAGCCCGCAGCTCCTTCAACATTAGTTAAAAAAGAAGCTGCTTCGGCCTATGGCAGAGCAGAATAAAGCTAGAAATGAAATCCGAACAGAGATATATAGAGAAACTAGGTGGAGTCAAGGAGATGCCATTGTAGCTGCTGAAGGAGACAGACACTGGAAACTTACTGGTAGGCCAAAGCCTCGTGGTGATATATTGATTAATAGAAATGGGTTAATTTAAGATGTAAGAGTTAGTTAAGAAGAAGCCTGAGCTAATAGGCTAAACAGGACTGTAATTAATATAGTTTCTGTGTGATTATTTGGGTCTGGGCAGCTGGAATAAACAAGTAGTCTCCACTTACAAATGGTACCAATGTGGGGCAAAAAGTTCCACATAAAACCTAAGAAAGTTTAAGAAAGGCTTTTAGACCCCCCCCCCAAAAAAACAGGAGTCAATTGGAGCTTCGTGGTAGCTGCATTTTTTTAGATAGGCTGGCTACAAGCAGAGGTGTGGCTCCTTTAAGAAAAGGCTTCCTGATACATTAGCAGCAAAGACTTCATAGTTTTTGCTGACAGCACATGGAGCACATGGCTCCGGCTCTTTTGAGAGTTCCTGCTATGGAGAACTTAAATGGGGTTTGTGAGCAGTGTGTTACAAATTGCTTAAATACCTGCTGTCTTCCTGGAGTTGGGGCAGTGAGCATGGTTAGCAGAGTAGGCAGTGAACATACCTCCACCATGATGGATGGGGTGGAGCCAACAGACAGAACCATGGAGCTGGTCTTAGCCATGCCTGCTTAGCATTTTAAAAAAAAAGGTGCTTTTTGTCAGAAAAGGATTTCAGATACACAATTGGACAGACCTCTAAATGAGACACAGTGTGTTTAAAAATGTACATAGACTTGAGAGGGAGGAAAAAGAGTATAGACAGTTATAAAACAGTAAAAGTAGTATGAGTATAGACAGCCAGAGATTAATAAATTAACAATTAAAAGTAATAGAGTAAAAAAAGGCATGTAAAGATGGAAAATACACAAAGAGTCTGGGTTATGTATATTATTGTGCTTTCTTTGAATTTTCTGACTGTGAAGGAGCTAAGTACAGAGAGACATTTCATTGTACGGGCTGCTAAGCTAAACCACCATATATATTTTACAAGTATCTTTACTTCAAAATTTGGGTTTAAGGATTCTTTGATTTAGAAAAGAGGTTCTCTTTTGTTTCCACAGAAGATGAGAACCTGTGGATTCCTTCTGGGCTATCGTGGTTTGATGGAACAAGAGCCCCCAAAAGTCTTCATGAACCCTAAAAATACTTCACCCAACAAACAGCAGGAAGCAGTTTGGAGAAAACAATGCCCAAATTCTTAAAATGATTGCTTATAAATATGTGTTGTCATTTAAAGGGGGTTGATTATAAGTGGTTAAATGGTCACAGTTAATCTCTTTCTAACAAGGCGGGGGAGATATGATATAAAGATGAATACTTTGCATTAGTACAAATTTAAGGTCATTTATCATACTATGTATATGTATATCTGTTCTTGTTTAAGGTATTGTGTTTGTATAGCTCTTTTTAAATTGTAATGTATAAATAAGAAATACAGATTAATAGTCATCTATAATAATCAAACTTTTAGTCATGTTAGTTAGATTTTCTAGATATACAGAGATATATTTCAGTTAGATAATCTTCAGTACTTCAAAGACCTACAGAATACGGCATTCAAAACGTTTTAAGAACTTAAGACTTAGCTGGGTGGTGATGGCGCACGCCTTTAATCCCAGCACTCGGGAGGCAGAGGCAGGTGGATCTCTGTGAGTTCGAGGCCAGCCTGGTCTACAAGAGCTGGTTCCAGGACAGGAACCAAAAGCTACAGAGAAACCCTGTCTCGAAAAATCCAAAAAAAAAAAAAAAAAAAAAAAAAAACTTAAGACTTTTCTCAACAGTGAGACATGTCTGCTTCTGGCAGTACCATTTTCTTCAGAGAGGTTGATGGGCATTGAAGAAACTCATGGAATTTGCCTTCAATGTGACAACGCTGGCAAGAAACTGCTCTTGCCTGAACTGCTTGAGAGTATGCTGTATAAACTGGACATGTAGGACCCACAGAAAAATGATTGCTGAACTGGCCTAAAAAAGGTTAGACAGTCCTTCAGGGCTCCTGCTTCATGAAAGAATCTGCCAGACATTCTGCAGAACACAGAAGAAAGTGTCTGACAAACTGCCAATATAGGTGAAACAATCTTTCAAATTTCTTGCTTCATGGAAAAATCTGCCAGATACTATGAGCCTGTAAAAAAAGAACTTTGGGTGACTGTCCAGGCAGCAAGATGTCTCTGTCATTTCTAGAACTTTGGAAATTGCTACAGTACACTTCCTGTTTACTTAGATATTATATTGTTCTGGGGTCTTTGATGGAGTTGAAGATAGAGTTTTCCTTAGTTATAATAAAAGAAAAATTAGACATGAAACTTTAGACTCACAAAGAAATATTATAACTATAATTATTGCTTGATAACTGTTTTGTTATATGTAATTTTACTATGTTAAAGTTAAAACCTTCCTTTTTATTTACGCAGAAAAGGGGAGATTATGTGGGATTCCCCTCTGTATGCTGGGAATATGTTTTATTTATTTTTATTTTTGGGGGGATATGTTTTATTACCATTGGTTAATAAAGAATTTGCTTTGGCCTATGGCAGAGCAGAATAAAGCTAGTCAGGAAATCCAAATATAACTATATAACTATAACTATAACTATATATATATATATATATATACATACATACATACATACATACATACAGAGAGGGGGGGATAGGTGGAGTCAAGGAGACACCATGTAGCTGCTGAAGGAGACAGATGCCAGAACCTTACTAGTAGACCACAGCCTCGTGTGATACATTGATTAATAAAAAGCTTGAGCTAACAGGCTAAGCAGTATTGTAATTAATATAGTTTCTGTGTGATTATTCAGGTCTGGGTGGCTTGAAACAAATGAGAAGTCTCTGTTTACATCTTTCAATAAATCTTTATGCTACAGTCTCAATGGCTTATGGCTATATGAATCTTTTCAGTAAATAATCAGAGATCCCAAATAAATAAGTTAATGATGAAATCTCAAAGTCTTGTACAAGAAAAAAAATCAAAATTCAATAGACGTGAACAATAAAAAATCATGGAAGAAAATAATAAAGATGGGAGAAGAAATAAAATGGAAACAAAACATTACAAATAACCAAGAGAACAGACATTTTATTTAAAAAAGATAAGCATAGCCTCTTTGTCATTTGTATGTAGGAGGGCTACTGATTTTTTTCTGAGTTAATCTTATATCCAGCCATTTTGCTGAAGGTCTTTGTAAGCTATATGAGTTTCCTGGTAGAATTTTTGGGATTGCTTATGTATACTCTAATATCATTTGCAAATACTGATTCTTTAACTTCTTCAATTCCAATTTGTATCCCCTTGAAACTCCCTGGAACCTATGAGGGTGACCCTAGCAAAGGCTTCTAGTAAGGGGGGGTATGAGGCCTGAACCAGCTATTGCCTGTAACCAGGCAAGGCTTCCAGTGGTGGGACTGGGACATATTCACAGACAGCATACATCACCTCCCACATCACTGCTCCTTTTTTTTTTTTGTCTAAATAACAGAGTCAGAGCTGTTTGTACTGGCGAACCAGGAAGCCACCATTTTTTAAAGAAATCTTGCAGGTTTTACTGCTAAAACTGAGTCAGAAAACCTCTTAAAGGAGCCACGGCTCTGCTTTCTACCAGCAAACTGCGCAAGAAGCTGCATTAAACTCTTGGGTTTTTTTTTTTTTTGTGTGTGTGTGTGTGTCTAGAATTCCTTTCCAAGCTCTGCTAGGTTTTTAAGTGGATTTAGTTGGCCACGTTGGTGCCAATTTATTGTTGGGGGAGGCCACTTGTTTGTTTTCCAGCTGCCCAGACTCCCAAAACAATCACACAGAAATTATAATATGTGCAAGACTGTTTGCCCAATAGCTTAAGTGTATTTCTGGATAACTCTTATATCTTAAATTAACCCATTCTATTCATCTATTTATTGCCACGTAGCTGTGGCAGAAAAGGGGAAATGGTGTGGAAAGTCCTTCTGTATCTGTGATGCTTTTATTGGTTAAAGGATAAAGTTGTTTTGGCCAGTGGCTTAACAGAATAGAGCTAGGTGGGAAAACTAACCTGAATGCTGGAAGAAATAAGGCGGAGTTGAAGAGAAGCCATGTAGCCCCACCGGACACAGAAGCCAGACAGAACTTTACCCAATAAGCTATAGCTATATGGTGATACATAGATTAATGGAGATGGGTTAGTTTAGGATATAAGAGCTAGCTAGCAATACACCTAAGTGATGGGCCAAACAGTGTTTTAATTAATACAGATTTCTGTGTGATTATTTTGGGAGTCTAGGTGTCTAGAAAATTAATGAGCAGGTTTTGCCTAACAACAAGGAGGTGTAAGATAAAAGAGAAGGTCACATGGAAGTATGTAGATTAATATAAATGGGTTAATTTAAAATGTATGAGTTAGCTAGAAACAAGCTTGAGCTACTGGCTGAGCATTTATAATTAATATTAAGCCTCTTTGTGGTTACTGAAGAGCAGGTTGATGGGACAGAAAAGTTCAACTATGCCATAGGAATCAAGGATACCACAAGAACACAGCCCACATAATCAGTTAACTAACCAGGGGATCATAGGTACACACAGAAACTGAACCAGCAATCGTGGAGCCTGAATAAATCATCTGCATCAGGCCATCTGCATACATACTGTGGTTCTTTAGCTTGGGGTTTATCTTGGACTCCTAAAAATGGCAGTTGGGTGATGTGGGAGTGTCATATATCAATCTGTTGATTTCATTGGTTAAGCAATAAAGAAACTGCTTGGCCCTCATAGGTTAAAATATAGGTGGGAGGAGTAAACAGAACAGAATGCTGGGAGGAAGAGGAAGTGAGCTCAGACTGGACAGCTCTCCTCTCGACAGCTCTCCTCTCGGGAGCAGACGTCTCAGAGAGATGCCATGCTCCGCTCTCCCAGGCAGACGCGATTGATGAAGCTCCAACCCAGGATGGACGTAGGCTAGAATCTTCCCGGTAAGACCGGTGCTCACAGATTATTAGAGATGGGTTGATCGGGATATCAGAATTAGCCAGTAAGGGCTAGAGCTAAAGGGCCAAGCAGTGTTTAAATGAATACAATTTATGTGTTGTTATTTTGGGGCATAAGCTAGCCAGGCTGCTGGGGTGCTGGGGACACAGCCCCGCCGCTCCTATTACTACAGTTGGGGGTGTCTATGACTCTTTTGCCTGCTCTGGGACCTATTTCCTCCTACTGGGTTGCCTCATCAAGTCTTGATATGACTTATGCCTTATTTCATCTTGTTATGCTGAGTTCAGTTGATATCTATTAAACTTCTAATAAGTATAATGCTTTTTAGGTATATTTATGCTTTTGTATGGGTTCATTCTTATATGTTGAACAATATTACCTTTCATGGACATACTATAATTTGTTTACTCATTTACCTATTTACGGACATTTAGATTATTTGAGGTTTAGGAGATTATGAACAGAATAAAAATTTCCTATTAGCCTAAAGGAAAAACGTATTTCTGAAGTGTCTAACACAACATTTTATGCAGGAAAATATTATAGATGATGACTTAATATGAACCTACTTCATATGGTATTTTAAAAGGAAAACACTTTTGTGTAATAGATTCTAAATCAATATACCAACAATAAACACATAAATAAGTTTTATATACAGCCAAGTGGCCTATAACATCACTCAGTAATCATGCTTTCTTCTTAATATTTCAATTAAAATAAGTCCATAAGTGTCTGGGGATATAGACAGATCAGTTGGAAGAATCCTTGCCTAAGGCTCAAATCCTAGCACCACATAAAACTGGTCATAGTAGCTCAAACACACTCAGGCAGCAGAGGCAGAAGAATCATAAGTTTAAGATCACCTTCATGTAGTGAGTTCAGGACCAGCCTGGACTAGAGATGCTCTGATTAAATATATTAAATTAAAATATATAATATATTTATATATAAAATATATAATAAAATGACTACAATTTAGTCTTAGATTGCCAAGTACACACCATAGAATATGGAATTTGAAAAAAATGAAAGCACCACATCTGGACCCTCTTCATCTCTAACACATTGGTAAGAGGGCAAGCAGGGGAATGTGGATCTTAGTAAAGAAATTGAAAGTGCTTTTGTAAGGAGCCCATTATAAGAGGAAATGGGTTATTCAGTATATTAAAAATAAAAACCATTCTTTAAGTTCATTCTAAAATAAATACTTACAGCAGTTTTATATGCAGCTTCAATGTAAAACACAAGGTTCTGTATAAAATTGACTTCATCTAGGCTGTGGATGATATGCAATCCTAAGGAAAAAAGATAAAGAGTTGGCCAGTTATCACTTCAGGGCCTCAGAAGTGGAGGTGAATTAGTGGACTCAGCTTAAATCAACTTCACTTCAATTGACTTGTTCCTACCTGTCCAGCATAACTGGCTTATATTGTTCTTCCCCATATGTTTACAAACATTTTTACTGAGATAGTCTATCGTACAGCTCATTGATACCAAGTATATAGTATAATAGTCTTTTATTGTGTGTACAGTATATATCTATCACTACAATCAAATTTGGGATATGTTCATCACCAAAAAAGTAATTATTTACTCACTAGACATTCATATAAATACAAGTGTATCATCTGCAGGCTTTATGTCAGTGTTTGTTGACCACAGTATTTTGAAGCTCCCTTTGTGTTGTAAGATGCATCAGTACTTTCTTTATTGCAAAAAATATTCAATTGTGTTGATGTACCACCTCTTACTTGTGATAGACATTGGGTTGTTTTTACATTTTAGCTATCATAAATACTGCTGCTATAAATATTCATGTATACACCTTTTATGTGTGAACCTGTTGCCATTTTTCTTGAAGATCTACCCACTTAGGAGAGAAACTGCTAGAGTATATGGCAACTCTATATTTAAGTTTCTGCAGCATTACTAGACTCATCTCCAAAGTGGTTGTATAATTTTTATTATAAATTTTCAATTACATTTGTGTGTGTGCATGCCATAGTACACAGGGAGGTCAGAGGACAATTTGAGGGAAGTTTCTTCTCAAAATCCCATATGGGTCTAGGGATTGCATTCAGGTTGTCAGGCTTAGTACCAAGCACTTTTATCTGCTGAGACATCTCATTTGCCCCTATTTTACACTTCTCAGAGCAGTGGATGAAGGTTCCAATTTCTCCATATCTTCAGCAACACTTTTTATCTGTTTTGATTACTGTTATTCTGGAGTGGTTGAAGTGGTTCTTAGAGTTATTTAGGTCCACATTTCTCTACTGATTGATGATGAACAGCATCTGTTCACATACTTAGTGTTTATTTATACATATTATTTAAAAAAATCAATTCAAATCCTCTAGCCACTTTTAAATTTTTTTGAGCTTTTATTTATGTGTTGAGTGTCTTTGCCTGCATTTATGTCTGTGTACTATATGTATACTGTGTCCATAGGGTCCAGAGGAAGGTGTCAGATTGGCTGAAACTAAAGTTAGAGATGGTTGTTAGCTACCATATGGGTGCTAAGAATTGAATTCAGGTCCTCAGGAAGAGCAACAAGTGCTATTAAATACTGATTCATCTTTCCAGTCAACTCCAGCCATTTTAAAGGAGGCTATTAGTTTTTTCTTTTCTCTTTCTCATTTGTTTTGAGATAGGGTCTTCATATAGCCTCAAACATGAGACCCCCATATTTTTATCTTCCAACTACTAGGTTTAGAAGCATGTACTACCCCACCACATCTGACTTTATTATGTTGTTATTTTTCTAAATAACAAGTTGTGGTAATTCTTTATACTAGATACAAATTGTTTATATATGATTTACAAATACTTTATTTTATATCTATAGGTTGCTTTTACACACACACGACAGAAATACATACATGCGTAATACATATATACATACATACATACATACATATGAGAGAGAGAGCAAGCAGCATTTTAATGGGGTTTCATGGGTTAGCAGCGAATTTGCTAATATTTGAGGATGACCCTCAACTCTGGATCCTCCTACATACACTTCCCAAGTGCAAGGATCACAAATGGACATCATATTGTACATAGATTATCTTTTACTTTCTTGAATGGGTCCTTGGAAACATAAATGTTAATTTTGGTAAATACCAATTAATACTTTTTCTTTAGCTGTTTATGCTTTTGGTATTATATCCAAGAGAACTTTCCCTCCTATTTTATTTTTCTTCCTTCCTTCTCTTCTCTTTTTCTTTTTTTTGAGAAAAGATCCTCATATATCCTAATAATCATATTGAACTCACTGTACAGTTGAGCCTAGCCTTGAACTCCCAATCCTCTTGTCTCCATCTCGCAAGTGTGGGGATTACAGTTGTGCTCTACCACCTACACCCTCTATGTTCCCTCTCAGCCTTGTCTCTCTTTCCCTCTTCCCCCTTTCTTTCTCAGACAGGGCCTTGCTATGTATTCCAGGTAGCCTCTAATTCATAATCCTTCTACCTCTGCCTCCTATTTTCTTGCTGCCTTATGTCTAAATTTTTAGGTTAAAAACTGGGTATTCCAGACCCAAAAAGATGAACATGGGATGTACTCACTCATAATTGGTTTCTAGCCATAAATAAAGGTCAGTGAGTCTATAATTTGATATCCTAAAGAAGCTAAATAAGAAGGTGAACCCAAAGAAAAACATATAGCTATCCTCCTGGGTAGGGGAAGTAGACAAGATTGCCAGGCAAAAAATCGGGATCTTAAGGGTGGGTGGGAGGGGGGTAAGGGGAGATGGGGAGAGAAAAGTGAGAAGGGTAGGATGGGGAGAACTTGGGGCAATGGGATGATTGGGATAAAGAAAGGTTGGATAGGGGAGCAGGGAAGCACATATCTTAATTAAGGGAGCCATCTTAGGGTTGGGAAGAGACTTGGACATAGAGGGGCTTCCAGGTGCCCAACGCGAGGTCCCCAGTTAGTTCCTGGGGCAGCTGAAGATAGGGAACCTGAAATGATCCTATCCTATAGCCATACTGATGAATATTTTGCATATCACCATAGAACCTTCATCTGGCGATGGATGGAGATAAAGACAGGGACCCACACTGGAGCACTGGACTGAGCTCCCAAAGTCCCAATGAGGAACAGAAGGAGGGAGAACATGAGCAAGGAAGTCAGGACCAAGAGGGGTGCACCCACCCACGGAGACAGTGGGGCTGATCTACTGGGAGCTCACCAAGGCCAGCTGGACTGTGACTGAAAAAGCAGGGGATAAAACCGGACTCTCTGAATATGGCGGACAATGAGGGCTGCTGAGAAGCCAAGGACAATGGCACTGGGTTTTGATCCTACTACATGTTCTGGCTTTGTGGGAGCCTAGCCAGTTTGGATGTTCACCTTCCTAGACCAGGACGGAGGCGGGAGGACTTTGGACTTTCCACAGGGCAGGGAACTCTGACTGCTCTTCAGACTTGAGAGGGAGGGGGAGAGGAGTAGGGGGAGGGGGAGAAGAGTGGGGGGACGGGGAGAGGAGTGGGGGGAGGGGGGGAGGAGTGGGAGGTTGGGAGGAGGCGGAAATTTTTTTTTCTCAATAAAAAAACTGGGTATTGTTATAGAGTGTGTTTATAGATCCTGATACCCTCCTCTCTGGGGATTGTTTTTGTTTATTTAGGGATTTGACTAAACTATTTCAGTAAAATCTATTTCCCCATGGCATGTAGCATCTGGTAATCCTCAGAAGATACAGCCTTGGCAACATGCATTGTCACACTTAGAAGACAATGTTGCTACTGGGAAGAGGAGCTAGTTAACTATCTTTTTCAAAGATCTGGTAAACATCTTGCTCTGTTGGTATAAAGCTAATCCCCCACCGACTTCAACTGACCATTCTATTGTTTTGTAGAATCCCCAAACATAAACTGCTCCATTGTTTTAAACAATTAAACTCAGGCCCTTTCTGGTACAATCTTTAAGTCAAGTCTATGATACTTGTTCTAACACCTAGAAGCACTCCTTAGTGTTCTTTGGATTTGTTAAAGTTCTAGCTAATCTGTCTTTTAGTTTCTTGCTGTTACTGAACAATTAATTTCATCTTAATTATTTAGACATGTTTTTCAGAAGACTTACTTTGATGTGTGTGGGTTTTGCCAGCATGGGTGCACAATATGCATGTAGTGCCTGTGGAGGCCAGGAGAAGGCATCGAATCTCCTCGAATTGGAGTTACAGATGGGTGTGAGCCATCACGTAGGTGCTAAGAATTGAGTCAGATCCTCTGGAAGAAGGGAGCTCAGACTGGACAGCTCTCCTCTCGGGAGCAGACGTCTCAGAGAGATGCCATTCTCCGCTCTCCCAGGCAGACGCGATTGATGAAGCTCCGACCCAGGATGGACGTAGGCTAGAATCTTCCCGGTAAGACCGGTGCTCACAGATTATTAGAGATGGGTTGATCGGGATATCAGAATTAGCCAGTAAGGGCTAGAGCTAAAGGGCCAAGCAGTGTTTAAATGAATACAATTTATGTGTTGTTATTTTGGGGCATAAGCTAGCCAGGCTGCTGGGGTGCTGGGGACGCAGCCCCGCCGCTCCTATTACTACAGTTGGGGGTGTCTATGACTCTTTTGCCTGCTCTGGGACCTATTTCCTCCTACTGGGTTGCCTCATCAAGTCTTGATATGACTTATGCCTTATTTCATCTTGTTATGCTGAGTTCAGTTGATATCTATTAAACTTCTAATAAGTATAATGCTTTTTAGGTATATTTATGCTTTTGTATGGGTTCATTCTTATATGTTGAACAATATTACCTTTCATGGACATACTATAATTTGTTTACTCATTTACCTATTTACGGACATTTAGATTATTTGAGGTTTAGGAGATTATGAACAGAATAAAAATTTCCTATTAGCCTAAAGGAAAAACGTATTTCTGAAGTGTCTAACACAACATTTTATGCAGGAAAATATTATAGATGATGACTTAATATGAACCTACTTCATATGGTATTTTAAAAGGAAAACACTTTTGTGTAATAGATTCTAAATCAATATACCAACAATAAACACATAAATAAGTTTTATATACAGCCAAGTGGCCTATAACATCACTCAGTAATCATGCTTTCTTCTTAATATTTCAATTAAAATAAGTCCATAAGTGTCTGGGGATATAGACAGATCAGTTGGAAGAATCCTTGCTTAACTGCTGAGTTGTCTGTCTAGCCCTTCATCTTAATTACTAAGAAACAAAATCTGCATTGAAGTCTCCTAAACTTTCTTAAAAAAGTTAATTTTCTTAAGAAGAGCTAAAGGGCTTTGCTTTTACAGTTTGTTTCTATCCTCCATGAGCATTTCTGTGCCAGTGCTCCAGCATTGATGGTAAGCACAACAGTCCATTTCCTTTGCAATGGCACTTCTGTTTTCCATACTAAGCTCTGGACAGGAGTTGTAGCTTCTGATCATCCCAGCTTGCATATTCCAGTGTAGGATGGTTGACCCGATCAAGAGGTAGGTGACCTAGTATCTTACTCTGCTCTTCTAAGGTAGATCCTACTTCACTAGTGTCTGGGGGTATAGAGGACCCCAAAGCTGTACTTGCCTGAACTAGGGCTTCTGCAATACAGAGCTTGGGAGAATGATAAATGATGCCAGCCTATTTTCTGAAGGAGAATTAGGTACCTTAAATTAAACTAGAGCAACTGTAAATTGTGACCCCTTTGGGAAAACTCTAGCTCCAAAAATATTTACATTACAATTCATAATAGTAGCAGAATTACAGTTATGAAGTAGCAATAAAAATAATTTTATGGTTGGGTATTAAAGGGTCACAGCATTAGGCAAGTTGAAAACTACTGTTCTATAGCTTAGGAGAGAGGAGGCCTTGTGTTCTGGCTATAGCCATCTCAGTCAGTGCTTCTATTTTCCTGGGTTGGGATAGGAAAGGGATTGAGAACAGATACCACAGTATCTCACTGTTCTAAATAATTACATTTCCTAGAGTGTTTCTCAGCTTACTGTATGTCTTTTGGGAAATTGCCAATGGCTTCAAAGGGTTGGACTGTTCTTAAATTTTCAGCATTTTTGGCTGTTTTGCTGGAGTCTATGGAGCTCTTCATGCTATTGTTCTATAAGCTGCAATCAAATTCTATCTAAATCTATCTTCAAGAATTCAAAATACTGCAAATACTCTATTAAGATTTTCATATTCTTTTCACCAATTATATCTAACAGAATTCCTTTTTAATTTCAATTTAAATGCATTACTCAAAATTGGTATCATTTCTTGTCAAAGTATTTCACTAACCTTTTTACTAGTCCTCCATCTTAATTTTGTTCCTTATCCAATATACCTCATCCAATCTATCTTCTTGGTAGTAGAATGAACCACCTTAAAGTCCCCTGATTATCTACATTGAATGGTTCTCTATGGATTGCAGACTATAATTTCAAACTATTTAGCATGCTATACAAGTCCTCAAATAGCTAGTCCTAATCTTCTAGCTAGAAATCTACCCTTACCTTGATGACAAGTTTCTTTCAAACTTCTGTACTATATACTTATTATTAGTCCCTTCCCCTTCTGAAATGTAAATTTTGATTTATTAAAACTTTTTTCTCAAAGACTTAATCAAATAATATCTACTTTATTACAAGCACTTATCAAGGTCAGCTAATTGAATTGAAAATTAAGTTAGGAGTCAATAAACATTTGTTTAATGAATATATCTCATGAAGCTTTTTAATGTATCTCTCTTTCTATCTGGGAGAATCACATTTAGAACCATATTTAGTGCCTGCTTTGTTTTTTTTTTAAAGCTAGGCAGTGATAGAGAACACCTTTAATACCAGCACTCAGGAGGCAGAGGCAAGTGGATCTCTGAGTTTGAGGTCAGCTGGGTCTACAGAGAAAATTCCAGTACAGCCAGGGCTACACAGAGAAACTCTGTCTCAAAAAAAACCCACAAACCCCCAAAATACTGAAACAACAAAATAAACAGCTTCCAGAGTTGGCATTAAAATATCATCCAAAATGAAATTATAACTACCATTCTATTTAAAGAAATAGAACAAAATTATATTTATTCTGGAAGAAAGTTCTCATCTAAAAGAAGACTAGTTGGATAGTTAATTTATAGTTTCACAGAAAGGTTATTCAGACTCCAGGCCATGTGTTCTAGAAGAAAAATTAAAGAGTTTATCACCAAACACGTATTTGAAAAGAGAGAAGACTATTCTGAGGGGATTCACATTTTGGGTGCCTTTAGTACTGAGGAACTGGCCAAACAGGAAGACAAAGAAATTGAAATATCAAAAATACAGCGTTCAGGACTAAGCAAAAGGCTCAGCTGTAAAAGTACCCACTTTGCAATGATAAAGATTTGAGTCGTGATCTCCGGCAACCACGTAAAAGCTGGGAATGTCATGTACATCTGTAACTCTAGCTCTGGGGAAGGTGAGAGGGAGGCAGAGTCCCAGTGCTCACTGGTTATTCACTAGCTTTGGGTTCAGTGAGAGACCCTGTTTCAAAAGATAAAATGAAAAGCAATGGTAGAAGACACCTTGATATCAACTTCTGACCTCCACACACACAGGCAGACCCATGAACATGCACTTCTAGCCACATATGAACACACACACTACAGATACACACACAAGCATGGCACTAGCTCAATATGATGGAACACACCTATAATCTCATCTAATTGAGAGTCTGATAAAGGAAGATTATAAGTTTGAGTCTAGACTGGGCAACTTAGTGAAACTCTTTCTCTCAAAAAAATTTTAAAAGCTAGGATTTTAGCTTAGTGGCAGAGTGCTTCCCTAGCATGTGTGAGTCCCTCTGTCGAAACCCCAGCACCACAGTTAAAACACACACACACACACACACGGTACTGTGAATACATTAACTTATTCAGAATGCTGGAAATGTTCTTATTAAGTTTAGGAACTGGATATACTAGGATTACTTCCATTTTTAGTTTTACATCTATAAAGGAAACTATATTGTTTGTTTGTTTTGAGACAGGATCTCACTATATAGCTTTGACTGGCCTAGAAGTTGTTATATAGACCAGGGCTGGCCTGGAACTTACAACAATCCTTGGCATCTGCCTTCTAAGTGTTAGAATTATATACAAATGTGAGCTACTATATTACTTATAATTTTCTTCTACATATCAAACATTAAAATATAATTACAAATTATTTAAATAGAATATTGTTTAACAAAACATATATATTTAGATTCAAATCATACTCACAATGAGTATACAAAGTAGATGTTTCTATAGTTACACTAATCACAGGCATATTACTATAGTATGAAAATAAGAAAAAAACCTTCAACCTTCCCACCTATATCCTGGCATCTGAGAATTAATAAATAATAAAAATGCCTGTCTAAAGATCTAGTCAAGAATTTCATGTGCCTGTTTTTATAGAGTATTAATTAGATTCTCAATACAAATTTGTTTCTCAATAAAATAATATATTGCCTAGACCTCAAAAAACTTTTCTAGCTGTATAAAACTCACAAAATTCCATTATTTATAAGGTACTTATTTGAGTACTATAAAGAGATATTTTATTTTCTGGCCAATACCTACAGAGAAGCCAAAAGAACCAGAGCAGATGCTCCAAGCCCAGGGGCATGCAGTAATTCTCTCCTTGTACTGACCTGAGGCAGTCATTTGTGCTAGAAAGAGCAGGTACACAGAAGTAGCATCCAACTGCAGGTGTCCCCACTGGTCATCACCCACCACTGTGGCACAAGTTTTGGTGTTGTACTTGGCATGGAGGCTATCCTTAGTACTCTGACTATACTTGAAGGACTCTACTTTATCCACCTGAAGAGAAAAGAGCATAAGAAGGCTAGTTAGAAAGTCAGCCCATACGCTATGTATCTGTAGTGCTATGGCATATAGCACTGAACTCCACCTTCCCTAAGCATAACCCTGAGTGAATATTTAAGGTACATACTTATCTGTTTTCTGCTACACCATGTGCTACTTTTAATAAAAAACAACAAATGGTCAAAACAGCTATTTCCTGTCCATTGCCTTTCTTCTATGCTTTTCAAATGGTTGCTTTGTCATAATGTAGAGAAACTGGAAGTTCAAATGTATTAACACTTTAGTAAGATAACCCAGTGTTACACATTTGTTCCTGAAATTAAAGTAGAAATCTACAGATACATTGAAAGAGGATATTTTTATTTTATGTGTGTACATGGTAGTTTGTAAGTATGGATACCCCCAAAGGCCAGAAGAGGGCATGAAATTCCTTGGAGCTGAAGATACAGGCAGTTGTGAGCCGCCCAACATGGATGTTGGGAACCAAACTCAAACTCAGGTCCTCTGCAAGAGGTGCTCTTTGTTCAGGTCCTCTGCAAGAGCAATATGTGCTCTTAACCACTGAGCCATCTCTCTAAGTTTTGAAGATGCCATGAGAAGAGTTAATGAGAACCATACAGTCTCAGAGAAATAGTATTATAGAAAGCTGAAATAACAAATTAGAAGAAAACCATTGGGAGCTGGGGTATAAGTTTAGTGATAATGTGTTCTGAGGATGCATAAGGCCCTGGGTTCAATTTGTAACACACACACACACACACACACACACACACACACACACACACACACACGGGGCAGGGGGAGCCTTGTGAGTGAGCGAGCGGGGTGGGGTGGGGGAGTGCAAAAGTCCAGACAGGAAACCTTGGGTATAAGGCAATAGTTCTTGACCTAATTCCTGAAATGTAGTTGTTATTATTTATGCCTCTGATGTATAATAACCAGGACATCTTAAATATGTTCATTAAATTTGTGACTATACATACTCAATAAGATAGAAAGTATACATATCTGAAATACAAATGAAGCAGAAAAGACAGAGAGAAAAATGATATATGTGAACAAACTAGTAAAAAGATATATACAACAATTAATTGTATATATATTGAAAAGTCATTTGTAGATAAGTTTAGAAGTTGAGCATTGATTTCTTTCTACTTTCACAAAGTTAAGTCAGATTAAATATGTACATGTTTTAAGATCCTAGAATAAAGGTTTATTACTAAAAATGTTTGTGTGGAGAAAATGTCATAAACTCAAAACATAACTGTAAAAATATTTGCAATGTATGTGACAAATGATTAATATCCTTAATGTACAAGAACTCAGTAGGAGAAAAACAAATAAGCTGTCAACAAAAGGAGGTAAAGCTCTAGCAAGTAATTCACCAGTAAGGGACTGCAGATTTCCAATTCACATACAAAAGAATATTCAGCTACACTCAATGTCAGGGAATGCCAATTACTTCAAGTTCAAGATCCTTTGTCTCCAATTATAAAATTAAAAATACTTTGATTTTTTCTAATTACATTTTACATCATCAAATCTCATCTGGTGGAAACACTAAATTCAAATCAATATAGGGGTATGTATACGCTTTATTCCATTTACAGTAAAAGGAATGACTTCCTATCAAGAAATGTTTTTATATTGTAGAGTATTCTTCTCTTTCCACTGAATATATGAGAAATTATATGATACATGTACTTTGCTATCTTTTAAAAATCTAAAAATTTATTACTAAAACTGATCTGGACCTAAGAGTTTAAACAGTTCTAAACAATTATTTGTAAAAGGAGGAAAAATCCTGGAAGGGAATATTCCCATTGTAATAGGGTGGTGTAAGTCTCTGTGACATCCCCACCCGAGAGTTCCAAACTTTCTAAAATTAGAGTGTACTATTTGTGAATCTGAAAAAAGGCTATAGGCATTATTGGGAAGTTGTTAGGATACTGTCTTGTTATGCGTTGTTACCATTGCCATACCTGTCTGATCATGCAGTGCAGCAGTCCCCTCATTAACTTCACTACACTCTGCAGAAATAAATGGAAACAAGGCTGTTATAAACATACTGAGCTACAAGAACACTGACTCAGCAACTTCAGTCGGTACATGACCTTTGGAGAACAAGTAACCCTATCCTGGGTTCTAGTTACATGGCATTTACTTTATAGGTACACAGAACAGATTGCAGCTAAAAAATTAAATCAAAAGCCATAGGCTATGATTCCTTGGATTTAAATAATAATATAAGTTTGGAAGTTTTACCTAAAAATAAGGCAACCATCTAACAGGGGAGATGAAACAGCTAGAGAAAAGGAACACGTCAACTTACATGGTATATACCCTACAGTCTCCATAGCATCTTTGAATTTTTTTCATTTTATTTTTTAAAGATTTTTTTCATTTTATATGTATGGGTGTTTTGATTATTTGTATATATACAGATCATATGCATGCCTGGCATAAGTAGTGAATATGTTTTAGAACATATCAGCATAGAATAGCTTCTCCAATTCTCTACAAAGCTTTCTGTTTCACAATCTAGAAGACCTTAAATTGGCCTTGTGTCCCACAGATCATACTATGAGCAATTTTTAAAGTAATACTGTGAGGGTGCCCATAAAATGAGGACACCTTTAAGAGAAAGAGTGACAATTCACTACTGTTTGGTCTAGTACTGGTTTGGTTTTACTTGGAAAGGTGGGTTTTCAAGCACACAGAGTTTGAAGAGCCACAGAATACACAGAGAAAACTATTAAGACAAATGAAAACTGGAGTTTGGATCACAAGTAAGATCAGAGTCAAAGGAACAGATTTGCATAGAGGCAATAGAAAAGCCATGAAAAAAAAGATGAGAGAGGAAACAAGAGAATAAAATAATCAGAAGTGGAAGCAGTCAAAGAGAGACCTTGATTTACCTGAGTATTTATTTTTATAGCTATGATATTATATCTATATGCCCAAGAAAGGGGACATTTGTAAAAGCATACCTATGAATAATTCCAATATAGAATATAGAAGTTAGTTAAACCTATTTCTTCTCATCCACAATTCTCGTCTATTCTCAAATTTTATGAGAGAGAAGCTAAAATAACAGTTGAAACAAAGAGTATAAATGATTAACACGGTTTTGGGGAAAATCTATACAGTAATGTTAAGTTGGCAGTAGGTAGAAATTTAACCCATGGATATACTGGATTTAATCTATGTTCATTTACTAGTTACAGGTCAGTTATTATCTAGGCACATTATTAGATCTGTCTATATTAGAATCTCAAATTGTTTTAAAGTAAGGTCCAGTAAGGATATCTCTGAAAAGCTTTCCAAGCAATTCCAACGTATGGCCAGAGTTTAGATTACTCATCTGGGCCAGGGACAAATCCAACCCATCACTGTTTCTGTCTATACAGTTATTGGAATATTGCCATGCTAATTCTTTACATATTATCTTTGGTTCTTTTCTGTTATACCTACAGAGCAGAGTAATTAGAGACAAGTGAACTATATGCCAAACATATTGACCATCTGACCCTTTACAAAGATGGGTGGGTTTCTAAATTAATGCTGACATAAGTTTTTAAAACATCAGACCTAATAATCAAATTTATTTTGATCCTTTAAACAAATTCATATAAAATTTAGTAATTCCCACAAAAGCTTTTCTATACTGAAACATTATAAAGTTACTAATAAGGTGATACAAAAATATTTTCAGGGGCAGAGCGGCGGCGCGGCCGGACGCACAGAGGCAGAGCGGCGGCGGCCAGACGCGGCGGAGCAACACCACATACAGGAAGAGGCTTTCGGGGACCAGCGCAGCGGCAGACCCAAGCGGCGGGGACAGGCGTGCAATAAGGAGAGCAGATCGCCCTACTACAATTGAATCAAAGAGGTAGGCCTTTGGTTGGCCAGGTCACTGGCACAAGGGGAGCCTGGTCCTGTCCTGAAGATCCTTCGGAGGGGTGAGAGGGTTCTTGGCCTGCAGCAGGAACCACGAAAGAGAGTGAGGGCATTTTGTAAGCGGAGCCCTTGGCCAGCAGGGAAACCTGATCCGGTTTTTAAAGGACCCATTGGATAGGATCAATAGGAGGAGATGGGCAGGCGCCAAGGCAAGAATTCACCCAATAATCCGAAAAACAACATGAAAACATCAGAACCCAATGATCTTACAACAGAAGTATTTGAACAACCTAACACAGAAGAAGTGGAAAAAATTGACTTTATGAAGATAATAGAGTCCCTTAAACAACATGTAAAAAATGCCCTTATAGAAATGGATGAGAAGTATAACAAAAAGTTTGAAGAAATGAGTAAATACGTACATGATACCCTGGGAAACCAAGAAAAAACCATCAAACAGGTAATGGAAACAGTTCAAGAATTGAAAACTGAAATGAAGGCAAAGAAGAAAATACAAACTGAGGACCAGCTGGATATGGAAAATCTAGGCCAACGAGCAGAGTCTACAGAAACAAGCATAATCAATAGAATACAAGAGCTAGAAGAAAGACTCTCAGATGCTGAGGACACCATAGAGAAAATAAACGAACAGATCAAAGAAAACAGCAAAGCCAACAAATTCTCAACACAAAACATTCAGGAAATATGGGACACAATAAAAAAACCAAACCTAAGAATAATAGGAATAGAAGAAGGAGAAGAGTCACAGCTCAAAGGCCCAGAAAATATTTTCAACAAAATTATGGAAGAAAACTTTCCCAACTTAAAGAAAGATATTCATTTAAATATTCAAGAAGCATACAGAACACCAAACAGACTGGATCAAAGAAAAACATCTCCTCGCCATATAATAATCAAAACACAAAATATACAGGTTAAAGAAAGAATATTAAGAGCTGCAAAAGAAAAAGGGCAAGTAACTTATAAAGGTAAACCGATCAGACTTACACCTGACTTCTCGATGGAAACTATGAAAGCCAGAAGGTCCTGGATAGAGGTTCTGCAGAAGCTAAGAGACCATGGATGCAAACCCAAACTACTATACCCAGCCAAGCTATCGTTCATTATCAATGGAGAAAACAAGACATTCCAGGATAAGAACAAATTTAAACAATACGTAGCCACAAATCCAGCCCTACAGAAAGTAATAGAAGGAAAATCGCAACCCAAGGAATCCAACACTGCCAACACTGCCTACAATAACCCAGGCATCTAATGACCCTTCACGAGCACATCTCAAAGAAGGGAGACACACAATCTCTACTACCAAAAGCAAAAGGAATAACCGGAGTAAACAACCACTGGTCATTAATATCACTTAATATTAATGGGCTCAATTCACCTATAAAAAGGCACAGGCTAAAAGATTGGATACGAAAACAGGATCCAACATTCTGCTGTTTGCAAGAAACACATCTCAACCACAAAGACAGGCACCTACTCAGAGTAAAGGGTTGGGAAAAGGTGTTTCAAGCAAATGGTCCTAAGAAAAAAGCAGGTGTGGCCATACTAATTTCTAACAAAACTGACTTCAAACTAAAATCAATCAGAAGAGACCGAGACGGTCACTTTATACTCATAACAGGAACAATTCATCAGGAGGACGTCTCAATCCTGAATATATACACCCCCAATATAAAAGCACCTACTTATGTAAAAGAAATATTACTAGAACTCAAGGCAGACATCAGACCACACACACTAGTAGTAGGAGACTTCAACACACCTCTCTCTCCAAGGGACAGGTCAATCAGACAGAAACCTAATAGAGAATTAAGAGAATTATTGGAGGTAATGAAGCAAATGGACTTAACAGACATCTATAGAACATTCCACCCAAATAGGAAAGAATATACCTTCTTCTCTGCAGCTCATGGAACCTTCTCAAAAATTGACCACATACTCGGAAACAAAGGAAACCTCCACAGATACAAAAAAATATCAGTGTCCACCTGTGTCTTATCAGATCATCACGGATTAAAGTTAGAAGGCAACAACCACGCTGCCCCCAAAAAACCGACAAACTCATGGAAACTGAACAGTCAACTACTGAACCACACCTGGGTCAAGGAAGAAATCAAGAAAGAAATTAAAGTCTTCCTTGAATTTAATGAAAATAAAGGGACAACATACTCAAACCTATGGGACACAATGAAAGCAGTGCTAAGAGGAAAGTTCATAGCACTAAGTGCCCACTTAAAGAAAACGGAGAATGCATACATTGGGGACTTAAAAACACACCTGAAAGCTCTAGGAAAAAAGAAGCAGACGCGCCCAGGAGAAGTAGAAGACTGGAAATAATAAAACTGAGGGCTGAAATCAACAAAATAGAAACACGGAAAACAGTCCAAAGAATCAATGAAACAAAAAGCTGGTTCTTGGAGAAAATCAACAAGATCAACAAACCCCTATCCAAACTAATTAAACGACAGAGAGAGAACACGCAAATAAATAAGATCAGAAATGAAAAGGGGGACATAACCACAGACACAGAGGAAATTCAGAGAATCATTAGATCTTACTACAAAAGCCTGTATGCCACAAAACTGGAAAATACAAAAGAAATGGACATTTTTTTAAATAAGTATCATATACCAAAGCTAAACCAAGACCAGGTGAATGATCTAAATAGACCGGTCTCTCGCGAAGAATTAGAAATGGTTATCAAAAATCTCCCTTCGAAAAAAAGCCCAGGACCAGATGGTTTCAATGCAGAATTCTACCAGAACTTCCAAGAAGAACTAATACCTATACTCCTTAATGTATTTCACAATATAGAATCAGAAGAGTCATTGCCAAATTCCTTTTATGAAGCTACAGTTACCCTGATACCAAAACCACAAAAAGACCCAACCAAGAAAGAGAATTACAGACCGATCTCACTCATGAACATCGACGCAAAAATTTTCAATAAAATACTGGCAAACCGAATCCAAGAACACATAAGAAAAATTATCCATTATGATCAAGTAGGCTTCATCCCAGAGATGCAGGGCTGGTTCAACATACGAAAATCTATCAATGTAATCCACCATATAAATAAACTGAAAGAAAAAAACCACATGATCATTTCACTAGATGCTGAAAAAGCATTCGACAAAATTCAACACCCCTTTATGATAAAGGTCTTGGAGAGAATAGGGATACAAGGGTCCTACCTAAATATAATAAAAGCTATTTACAACAAGCCAACAGCTAACATTAAATTAAACGGAGAAAAACTCAAAGCCATCCCACTAAAATCAGGAACACAACAAGGATGTCCACTCTCTCCATACCTCTTCAATATAGTGCTTGAAATTCTAGCAATAGCAATAAGACAACATAAGGAGATCAAGGGGATTCGTATTGGAAAGGAAGAAGTTAAGCTTTCGTTATTTGCAGATGATATGATAGTGTACATAAGCGACCCCAAAAATTCTACCAAAGAACTCCTACAGCTGATAAACAGCTTTAGTAATGTGGCAGGATACAAAATCAACTCCAAAAAATCAGTTGCCTTCCTATACACTAAGGATAAGGAAGCAGAGAGGGAAATCAGAGAAGCATCACCTTTCACGATAGCCACAAATAGCATAAAATACATTGGGGTAACCCTGACCAAGGAAGTGAAAGATCTACTTGACAAGAACTATAAGTCTTTGAAGAAAGAAATTGAAGAAGACACTAGAAAATGGAAAGACCTCCCTTGCTCTTGGATTGGGAGGATCAACATAGTAAAAATGGCATTTCTACCAAAAGCAATCTATAGATTCAATGCAATCCCCATCAAAATCCCATCAAAATTCTTCACAGATCTGGAGAAGACAATAATCAACTTTATATGGAAAAACAAAAAACCCAGGATAGCCAAAACAATCTTATACAATAAAGGATTGTCTGGAGGCATTACCATCCCTTGAAAGACCCCCACTCATTAAGCAGCAGTAACGCCATTTTGCAAGGCTTAAACTTTGGAGCAACGCAAGTAATTAGAGCAGGGAAGTTCGACTTGAGAACAAGGGCGGAGAAGCCAGGCGAGATATCTGCGGTCAGCCGGTCAGCCATCTGGCCCCAAGCGATAAGGAACCCGCAGCTGGCCTGCTCTAATGAGAACATCCCGTTTGCTTAGGGAAACAGGATGCCTATAGTCAGCACATGTGCCCAACTTAGAATATCAGTAATTCACAGAAGAGACAACTCCCCCTATGAAAGATCCCAGCTTATCTGCTGTAACGTCATTTCACAAAGCTTTTGACGAACGACTGTAAGTGCAGAGTAAGGTCAGGGTCCCTGGCTGCAAAACAGGATCTTTATATCCATAGATTAGGACAGGACATCAATTAACAGGATATCTGTTCCCATACATCTGTGCTGGGAGAGGAAAAACCACCTGTGCCCCTTGCCCCATTCCAACTGACCACTAACGATGCATTTGCTTCTGTAATCTGCTTCTGCTGCCCTCTTTCCTATAAAAAGACCTTCCCCCAGTCTGCAGGCGCGCTTGTCTCCCGAAAGACTAAGCCGCCCCAGGTACCTGTGTACTCAATAAAAGCCTCTTGCTGTTTGCATCCGGAGAGTGGTCTCGCTGTTCCTTGGGAGGGTCTCCCCAGTCTGAAAGACTGCCTACCACGGGGGTCTTTCACCCTGACTTCAAACTCTATTACAGAGCTACAGTATTGAAAACAGCTTGGTATTGGCATAAAAACAGAGAAGTCGACCAATGGAATCGAATAGAAGACCCTGACATTAACCCACAAACCTATGAACACCTGATCTTCGATAAAGGAGCTAAAAGTATACAATGGAAAAAAGAGAGCATCTTCAACAAATGGTGCTGGCAACACTGGATGTCAATCTGTAGAAGAATGAAAATAGATCCATATCTATCACCATGCACAAAACTCAAATCCAAATGGATTAAAGACCTCAATATCAGTCCGAACACACTGAACCTGATAGAAGAGAAAGTGGGAAGTACTCTACAGCACATGGGCACAGGAGACCACTTCCTATGTATAACCCCAGCAGCACAGACACTAAGGGCGTCATTGAATAAATGGGACTTCCTGAGGCTGAGAAGCTTCTGTAAAGCAAAGGACACTGTCACTAAGACAAAAAGACAACCCACTGACTGGGAGAAGATCTTCACCAACCCTGCAACTGACAAAGGTTTGATCTCCAAAATATATAAAGAACTCAAGAAACTAGACCGTAAAAGGCTAATCAACCCAATTATAAAATGGGGCACTGAGCTGAACAGAGAATTCTCAACAGAAGAACTTCAAATGGCCAAAAGACACTTAAGGTCATGCTCAACTTCCTTAGCGATCAGGGAAATGCAAATCAAGACAACTTTAAGATACCACCTTACACCTGTAAGAATGGCTAAAATAAAAAACACCAATGATAGCCTTTGCTGGAGAGGTTGTGGAGAAAGGGGTACACTCACCCATTGCTGGTGGGAATGCAAACTTGTGCAACCACTCTGGAAAGCAGTGTTTCGGTTTCTCAGGAAATTCGGGATCAACCTACCCCTGGATCCAGCAATACCACTCTTGGGAATATACCCAAGAGAGGCCCTATCATACAACAAAAGTATATGCTCAACTATGTTCATAGCAGCATTGTTTGTAATAGCCAGAACCTGGAAACAACCTAGATGCCCTTCAACGGAAGAATGGATGAAGAAAGTATGGAATATATACATATTAGAGTATTACTCAGCAGTAAAAAACAAGGACTTCTTGAATTTTGCATACAAATGGATGGAAATAGAAAACACTATCCTGAGTGAGGTAAGCCAGACCCAAAAAGAGGAACATGGGATGTACTCACTCATATTTGGTTTCTAGCCATAAATAAAGGACATTGAGCTTATAATTCATGTTCCTAGAGAAGCTAAATAAGGTGAATCCAAAGACAAACACATAGGCATCCTCAGGAATATTAACCTTCATCAGGCGATGAAAGGAGACAGAGACAGAGACCCACACGGGAGCACCGGACAGAAATCTCAAGGTCCAAATCAGGAGCAGAAGGAGACGGAGCACGAGCAAGGAACTCAGGACCACGAGGGGTGCACCCACACACTAAGACAATGGGGATGTTCTATTGGGATCTCACCAAGGCCAGCTGGCCTAGGTCTGAAAAAGCATGGGATAAATCCGGACTAGCTGAACATAGCAGACAATGAGGAATACTGAGAATTCAAGAACAATTGCAGTGGGTTTTTGACCCTACTGCACGTACTGGCTTTGTGGGAGCCTAGGCAGTTTGAATGCACACCTTACGAGACCTGGATAGAGGTGGGCAGTCCTTGGGCTTCCCACAGGTCAGGGAACCCTGATTGCTCTTCGAGCAGATGAGGGAGGGGGACTTGATCGGGGGAGGGGGAGGGAAATGGGAAGCGGTTGTGGGGACGAGGCAGAAATCCTTAATAAATAAATAAATTAAAAAAAATTAAAAAAAAAACCAAAAGAGAAAAAAAAAATATTTTCAGCTATGTGAAAGGTCATATAACAGAACACTAAAATTTTAGAACTGGCAATTCAGCTTTTTCCTCATTTTTCCACTTGGGTCAAATAAGGCAAGAAACCAAATCAGCATTATGATGCGACAACAGATTTATTCTAATGATCTTGAAATGTTTTGATCAAATTATATCAGACATGTATTTACAGTTCTGCTGATATTAATCTATAGCAATCAATACAAGGAACAAGCTACCAAAGTACTAAAGTATCACAATACCAAAACATTCAGTAGGATACAGGACTAGGGGTTTTAAAAAAACCATTCCTACATTTTCCAAATTTCTATTATGGCATTATTTCTACAAAAGGTCTATACTTCCTAGGCTAGAGCAAAAACTCCATTAAGTTTTGTGTCTATTGCTATTATGCTATTGCTATTGACAATACAGTGAGACTTGTCCCACTGCCGGCAACTACAGCTTCTGATTATATTGCTACTCTTAAAAATACCAAATCCCAATATCCTGACTTACAGATCACAAATGGAGTTCAAGGGAAACGACAGGAGAAAATGGCTGGTCTGGTAAGGCTCTTCTCTAATGGCAACAGATCCACGTATACTTACAACTAATAGCAGAGTACTTTATCATTACAGAGTTTATGGAATCCAAACAATGCCAACTTATTGCTCTTTTAGACACTTGAGAGGATGTAGTTCCGTTTGTGCTCAGAAGTTCCTTAAAGGATGCTAATTTACTGAGGGGAAGATGCCTTAAAAGTTGGCTTAAAATCATCTCCTAATGCTGACTTTAATTTGTCCCGAGGCAGGCAACAAGCTCTCTAAAATAGTGGTCATAACTTTAAAAATCAACACAGTCGTACTTCTGTCTGATGAGGAAGGCCTGTTGATTTGTGCCAGTTATGTGTATATAAATACTACAATTATTTTTCAAAAATAAGTAAAATAGTACTTATCTGCTCCCAAATAGTCTTCTCAATGAAAACAAAATGGTGGAACCTGAAAATACACTTAGAGGATTATTAACTTTAGGACTATCAGGGTAGGATTTTGAAAAGTAGTGAATATACTGCACCCCTTTCCTTGAATCTGCAAGTTTCAAGTTTCCACTGCAATAACCAAATCAAACTGCTTCAGTCAGAGTACATGGAAACTTTATAGAATGCAATTTCAGCAGGATGGCCTACGAGCGACATTTCCTTTAGCTCCCACTCACCCTACCACAACCACACACAGCTCCACATCTCTACGTGATTCTGTTTGGATTACCTGCTCCAGCTCATAGGCCTTCGCCTTGTCCTCATCACGGTCTGCGTTTTTCCGATATGCCAGGCCCAAACCCCACACAGCCAGGATGCTGTACACATTATCTCGGACCCAGGCATCTTTCTGATCATAACTGGCTGGAAGCAGTCCTGTCACTGGATTCTGCAAGATCAACCAAGAGAGGACAGGCAGCTAACTTCAGAGTGTAAAAGGAAACATAATCTATGGAATAGTTTATTTGGAAATCTTAGTCTTTCTCCTACTTCCCCATTCTTGAGTTTTAGAACTTTTTTTTTTTTTTTACCAATTTCAGGCAGACATTATCCCCCAGCTTTACTGAGTTATAACTGACAATAAATTTATACAGATTTACAGTATGCAACAGGTTAATTTGACACATACACGAATCTATGGTGAAATGATTAGCGCAATCATGCTAATGTAGCCATCACCTCACTTTGATGTGGTGGGATTTACTCTTTCAGCAAATTTCAGGTATACAATTCAAGTACTATGGAATAGTCAGTGTGCTACTGATGTTAATCAGTGTTGCAGAACATACTTGTTTTGTAACAGAAAGCTTGTTCTCTTTCCGTATGCTATCTTAAGACTGAGAAAGAGCCGGTTGGAGGCTTACAAATCCAAATGTGGGTATTATTAAAATAAAGGCACTATTAAAGTTATTATCAAATGTATTACTAAGAATTGCTAAAAGTATTTTTTAAAAATGTAATTTTTCAGTTAAATTCAACTACGAACGAAGTAAAGGAGTAAAAAATATATTTAGAAATACATACAGTCAGGTGTGATGCCTTATGCCTGTAATTTCTTGGCTGGAGAGACTGAGCAGGAGACTGATGCTACTTCAAGGCCAGCCTTGGCTACACACTGAGTTTCTGTCCATCATGGGCTACAGAGTAAGACTTGGTTTCAAAAACAAACCAAACAACTCCAAACAGTATACATTAGCCAGGTGCAGTGGTGTATACCTGTAATTCCAGCACTGAGGGGCTGAAGCAGGAGGATGGAGAGTTTGAGGTCAGCCTGGGTTACAGGGTGAAATCCTGTCTCCAGCAAACAAACAAAACAAAAACAACTTAGGAAACAAACAACAACAACAACAAAAAACCCACTGGTTTATGATCTGTTATCCAAACTCAGGAGACTGTGGCTTCCAAGTTCAAGGCCAGCCTAAGCCACGGAGCAAAACTATTTAAACAGAAGTATACACAATGTGCCTTGACCTTGGCAATAGTCTAAGGTCTCTTAGGATGGCTAAATGTTCTCCTACATCTTTGCGGGGAGTAGAAGTAGATGGCTGAAACCCGGGGTGAGGGTGTCAGTAAACAAGTGCTCCTGGTACCCACCTGTAGCCGGGAGTGGGGGGAAGTGGGTAGTTACTGGAATTACTGCAAAGGGGTGGGAGTTGTGGTTATTCATGCCACACTTTGGTTCTTCCTCAGGTTCAACGTGTAACTTTCCTGCAGGATCTTTTAGGGCCTCCCCACAGACAAACGCTTTCGAGGGTTCACCCAGGGTCAGTGTCCAACTGCTCACACTTCACCCTTGCTTACTCTTACCTGATGGCACAGGATGGTCTGATGCACCAGCCGAGCATAGCCGTCCAGGCGGACCCCTGAGTTACTCCGACTCCTCATCGCACCAAGTCCCTAATCCCCCAGTCCACACTCAGGGGAAGCTTGGACACCAGGCCTGCGGAAACCTTCGGAGTGCACGCTCACTCGCTTGGCCGATGGTTCCCGCGCGGCGCCCCGCTCCAGCGGTCTCGGAGTCCACTTTAGGTGGCGGCTCAGCTTCCCGTGGTCTAGGCTTCAACTCGCAAAGTCCCCGGTCTCCACTCAGTCTCCCATGACCCCCGGGAGCCGAACCGGCATCCTCCGTTGGACTGAGGGAGACCTCAGCAGCTCGGAGCCTCCAGGCTGGCAACTGCGGCGGGTCAGCGGCCGCGGCCCCGCCTCCCCTGGCGAGCACGCGAGGGCGGGGCGTGGGTCCTGCAGCTGCGCGCTGCGCCCATGGGCTGGCCGCTGGGGCGCGTGGCGGGGGGGGGGGGGGGGGGGCGGCCCTCCGCCCAGAATGTGTCGCCGTAGGCAATGTGCTCTCCTGAGGTTATTTTTGAAACATTCCAAGTGACTATTTTAATTTTGCACGCCTGTTGTGTGCACAGGCTGTTGCTCTCACTTCTGAGGGACTAGTTTTAGGAACCCACGGGAACTTGGAAAGTGAAAGGAGAGACTACGCGCATTTGCGCTCAAGGGCTGAGCGGTTCGATTTCCGGATCTTTGACAAAAAAAGTCGGATTAAACTCTGAAACCAAACAAAAGAGAGCTCCCTGGGGTTATTGGCTCCTTAGAGACGCGCGCGAGTCCAGGGCGTGGGAAGGAAGAAGCAGTTAGAGATCTTTGAGGAAGTAAGTGTTGCAGGCAGGGAACAGGGCAAAGAGCGAGCAGCAACCGAGGGTGGCCTTGGTGGGACAGCTGGCAGTGGAGTACCTGCTTTGGCAGGCTTCCCCCTAGTGTTGCCACCACAACAAAGATTCAGCTGAAAATAAAGCGGGAGAGGGGTTAGGGAAGAAGGCTGCAGAGGACACTGTGACAGGCTTGGGGAATCTGCCTCCTGCAAGAAGTCCCCAGGGCGTTTGCTTCCTTGCTCTACAGTCCCCACCCCCCATCTTTTTTTCTCTACTGTTCCAAACCCTGCACCCCAGTCAAGGCTCAGCTGGAGTACCACCTGCTTTCTGAATTGCGGGGTAAGCGTGAGACTGTCGCTTGACCTTTCGAGTTCTAAATCTAAGCCTTCCCTGGCCACCTCCCTCGGGCCACAGTGATTTTGCATTTTCATTCATCTTTTTTTTCTTCTTAAGTTTCTTCTCTCCTTACAAGCTGCTTCTGAACCACCGCCACCGCCGCCATGGCCTCGTCCTCACTAAGTATAACAAATAGGCACCTTGGAAGGTGACTAATGAATCTTTGCTAATGAAGATTGAAGGCTGAGTGCTCAAGAACGCTGAGCTGGGATTTTCTGGTTAAACAGCCAGTCAGTGATGCAGTTCAATACAGTGACACGGACTTCTCGGGCAGGCAGGCAAATAGTTTCCATTGCAGTCACTACCTACACAAATGCAGTGACTGGCAAATAAGCCACTTCAAGGCCTTAGTGCACAGGAAAGGGGAGTTCAATTTGGAGAGTATCCCCCTGCTCGGGTCCCTAACTCCCTGATAGCTTGCTTTCACTCAGACTATAGCCTCAGCCACCTTTTTCTCTACCCTTGTCCCCTTCAAGTGTCTGTCCTCTGGACTTTTTTCATCTCAATATTATCTAAACACATTTTCAAAGCATTAAAATAATATAGGATCACCGAAGAAAACTTGCAAAATACAAAAAAGTGAAATCAAAATTTGAAACCATCCGTCATGCCCCACACCACCACCTGTTGACACATACATTTGCTACTGTTTATATTCCTTCTGCATAGATCTCCCTTCACCTCCTAGTATCATAAGTGGATCAGGAATGGCAGACGTGAGCTATCACTAAGAACGGTAGCTAGCTGGCTAGCAATAGACCCTGTTGGCTGGCATTGCCTGGGTGCTTTCATCGTCAGTCCAATTTAGATTTTCAGTCTTGTAGTCTTAGAAACCTGATCTGCTCAGTGTCCCAGAACTGGTAAGACACAGGAGGCTGACTCATGCTGATTACCTCACAAGAGCTTGGTGCATGAAGACCTGGACGCTGCTTGATAATGAGAACTGTACCATAGCTTACATTAACTGACCACCACATTTTCTCCCTTTAGTAAGTTGCAATCATTATTATATAACTTAAATAATGGTCCTATTAGGTAGATGCACTCCTGATTAGCATACATTAGTTATACAAAATAGTGAGTTTCTTTAAAATGCATTCATAATTAAACCTTAGAGGTGGAGAAGTGACGGCACATGAAAATTAAGTCCTAGTTGGCAGTGTGATCTATGTTGGTTTCATGTATCTTCCAGGGCTCACTGGTACATTTTTAAATGTCTATCAAAATTATAAATCAAATTAGAGTTGTCAGTCTGAAATCACTGTTTCTTTTAAAAATTATTGTCACATAAAAGTTGTACATACTTATGGAGTACCATGTGATGTTTTGATGCATACACATGTTGTAGAATATTTAAATTAGTATGTAAGTAAACTTTTTATAAATAGAGTTGAACTATTACAAATAAGGTTAAATATCTTCTACCAGAGTCTTCTTCATCCCCTTCCTGAAGGCAGCTGCCATGATTGGATTGACTTGTGTCCTTCCAAATTGGTTCTGAAGGATTTATACGTATATTTGGAAATATGCATATGAAAAAAATGTACTATCACTTTATCTGTGTCTTAAAAATTGTCATTTATTTATTTTTTGTATGTACTATGTGATGTATGTGTATATCCATCTGTGGGGGGGGGGGAGTGTGTGTTAACCAGCAGAGGTTGAAGTTAGGTGTCCTTTTTATCACTTGCCACTTTGTCATTTGAAAGGAGCCTTCTCACTAAAGCTTGAGCTCACTATTTTAGCTGTCCAGAAGTATTCACCTGTCTCCTTCCCCCAAGTGCTAGGGCTACAATTGAGCACAACCACTTCAAGCTTGTTCATGGGCGAAGGGCATCTGAATCTCTGAGCCATCTCCCCAGACTTCCTTTTTTCTTTTTTTTTTCTTTTCTTCTTTTGAGAAAGGCCTCACTTTATAGCCTTGGATTGCCTATACTCACTATTTAGACTAGGCTGGTCTGGAACTCACCAAGTATAACAGGGTAGATTCGAACTTGCACAGAGATTCTCCTTTCTCAGCCAGTACTTGACCTCTCAGCTAGAGCAAATAAGACAATTGGGGGATATCAAAAGGATTCAAATTGGAATGGAAGAAGTCAAAGTATCTTAATTTGCAAATGATATGATGATATACGTAAGTAACCCTAAAAATTCCACCAGGGAATTCCTGCATCTGATAAACACCTTCAGCAAATTATTTAGATATAAAATTAACTCACATAACTCACCTTCCTAAATACAAATGAAAAATGGACTGAGAAAGAAATCAGGGAAACAACACACTTCACAATAGCCTCAATAATATAAAATATATTGGAGTTACTCTACCCCAGCGAGTGAAAGACTTCTATGATAAAAACTTTGAGACATTGAAGAAGATATCAGAATATGGAAAGATCTCACATGCTCATTGATGGATAGGATTAACATAGCAAAAATGACTACCATACCAAAAGTGATCTACAGATTCAATGCAATCTTCATCAATATTCAAACACAATCCTTCACAAATCTTGAAAGGAAAATCTTCAACTTCGTATGTAAACACACACACACACACACACACACACACACACACACAGCTTCCAGTTTAGTGTTTTTATGGGATTTCTGAGTGTGCAAATGAATTGGTCTCTGTTTCTTGTGCCTTCTCATGTGCTCTTCTGCTAGGTTTTTTGTTGTTGTTGTTGTTGTTCTGCTATGTGTTATTTTTATGCTGATGTGTTAGTTTTTATCTTATTATATTTTATTTTACCATTATGACTCAGAAGACTGATGTTTTTAAATAAGAAACAGAAAGGGAGTAGATCTGTATGGAATGGAAGAAGAGGAAGAACTAGCGTGAGTAGGGGGAAGGGAAACAGTAGCCAGGATATATTGTGAGAAAAAAGTCTATTTTCAATAAAAGGAAAAAACATAAAAATAAATGATAAATCATATCAATATAAAAGTATTGACTTAAAAATAAATGTATGTATCATTTATTATCAATAACATAAAAGAAATCAGTAAAAAAGGAAAATAAAGGTGATTGGTGTTGCTGGTGAGATAGTTCCGCAAAAGGCATGTATTGTTCTTGCAACATATCTAGGCTTGATTCCCAGCACCCACATGGTGGTTTATAGCCATCTGTAATGCTATATTCAGGGAATCATATACCTTCTTCTGATCTCCTTGGGCACCAGGCATATACATGGTACACATACATAAATTCAGACTAAATACTCAAACACGTAAAACAAATCTAAATTGCAGAAATAGAAAAGGGTGGGTAATAATACCATGAAAGCTAAAAGAGGATTCCTGGGGTGGAAAGGTCCAAGAGAGTGCAGGAGTGGCTCAGCAACAGAAACCAAATTATGTATGAAAATGCTATAATGAAATGGGTTACTTTGTATACTAATTAAAAAGTAAACATTTTTCGTTGTACTAATTTTAAAAAGATCTAATATAAGTTCAATTGGCTAATGTAATAGTTTTTATGACTTTTTTCTTTGTATGTTGGAGTAGGTGTGCACATGTGAATGAAGACCAGAGGTCAACATCAGACATCTTTCAGGTGCTACACATCTTGATTATTTATTTATTTGTTTGTTTGTTTGTTTATTTAAGATTTCTGCCTCCTCCTCGCCACCGCCTCCCATTTCCCACCCCCTCCCCCAATCAAGTCCCCCTCCCTCATCAGCCCAAAGAGCAGTCAGGGTTCCTTGCCCTGTGGGAAGTCCAAGGACCTCCCACCTCCTTCCAGGTCTAGTAAGGTGAGCATCAAAACAGCCTAGGCTCCCACAAAGCCAGTATGTGCAGTAGGATCAAAACCCAGTGCCATTGTTCTGGACTTCTCAGCAGTCCTCATTGTCCGCTATGTTCAGTGAGTCCGGTTTTATCCCATGCTTTTTCAGACCCAGGCCAGCTGGCCTTGGTGAGTTCCCAATAGAACATCCCCATTGTCTCAGTGTGTGGGTGCACCCCTCGCTGTCCTGAGTTCCTTGCTCGCACATCTTGATTTTTGAGACAAGACTGGAGCTCTCTGATTAGCCTAGGTTGGCTGATCAGTGAGCCCTAGGTGATCCATCTGTCTCCATCACTCCAAAGCTGAGATTACAGAGCATATCACCATGTCTGGATTTTGTGTTGATTCTGAGGCTTGAACACACAA